TACATAGCTTTTGTTTCTTCTTATTTTGTTCTCAGTGTTTAGCATTTCTTATTTAATAGAGAAATGAAAGTCTTCAATAAATCCAAATTTGAGTTAGAATCCTGAAGTATTAAGAATTCTCATTAAATGGTTTCCTTATATCACAGTTGTATTATTCACATTACTGATAACTATAAATTTTATCCACAGGTTTTATTTAAATAGTGCCAAAATTGAATTATTATAGTTAATTAAAGAATAGTGTGGAAAGGAAGGAAGGGAACGAAATCAGTATTTTTGCAGAAGGAATTGGTAAATGGCATGCAGAGATATGCAGAATGGAAGTACAATAATAAAAGTTTATTTTGCTAACAAAAGGCCAATCACACCCAAAAGCAGTGCCAGAGATCTGCCCTCTACTGTCTTACAGCTCCTCCTTTTATAGGTTTTTGATCTAATTCAGGTGGTTACATTTCATTCTCTTAGTTCACATTACCAATATACCAATCATGATCACAAGATAGTCAACTTTCAACCCAGATGTAACAATTCTTTGTGGTTAGGGGAGTTTACCTTTAAAATTCACCTAGCTATCTATCCTAGCCCATGGGAAGGGTGTGTTCAAGGTCTGGAAAGCAAGGTTAACAATGGTTCTTTCCATCTCAACACTTTTACAATCATGTGGTTTACAGAACTTCAGAGTTTAGGGTCTTGATGTGCCCTGTTTTCTCAGGATGAGACCAGATGCCTCATTCAGTGGTTAATGCCTCCAATGTCTGTTATTTCTAAACTAAACAAAACAAACTGCTGTTAGGGACAGCGGAAGCCATTCTACATTGTGACATTTTGCAGGTTTTGCTATTTACAGAGTTTTCCCTATCAATGTGAGAAAATGAAAAATAATGGAAACAAAGTCATTGTAGTTTGGGAGGGAGGGAAGAGTTGAAGGGAGGACAGGGGAATGGGGAAAAATAAGAACCAAGATTGATTATGCAGAGGTACAAATTTCCAACAATGAATGTCATTGTATTGTATACACTAAATATACAAATAAAATTTTAAAAAGCTAAAAAAAAGAATAGTGCAACACACTGCAGTTTGAAATCATTTCTTGTTTGGACACTTTCAGCCCAATTTGATTTATAACTTTATACAGTGCTTTTTCTTGTGCTTGACAGTGGTAGCTGGTATGACAAGCATATCCAAGGGAAAAATTGTTATTCTTTACATAGTAAAGAGACACAACCAAAAAAAAAAACTAATTTTAAATATTGTATCTGAATTATTGTATCAGGTGCTATAAATTAACAATAATACAGAAACATCAAAGTTTGATTTTTATTCACATTGTTAGATCTAGATAAAGAGACTTAAATAAGACCCCAATGTGTTCTTTTCAAAGGAGCAAGATTTCCATTTTATTGTAAGCACACATTTCTCTTTACAGGTCTAAAGTCAGTTGTAGGGATCATGATCCACTGCCTGAAGAAACTTGCTGGTGCCATTATTCTAACCATCCTTTTTCTGAGCATATTTTCTCTAACTGGAATGGGACTCTTTATGGGGAACCTGAAGCACAAATGTTTGTGGTGGCCCCAGGGAAATGAAAATGAAACTCTATACAACAGAACTGGAAGTCCATATTACATTCAAGGTAAGAATCATTCACCATCTGTATAAAAAATATGAACTTCCATAAGGCAGAGGAGTCTTCTCAGAAATAAATATTCAACGTCAAAGCCAGCTACTCAAATGCCCTATTATGCTCAAGTACAAATTTGGAGCAGTTTCATTTATGAGGATAGCAGAGTTCCCAATCTTCAGAGAGTAAATCAGGAAAACTCAAATTTTTAAAAAGTACAGCAATGTTACTTACAATTTCATGAGAGAGATCTTAAATTAGGATCTTTGTACTTCATATTTCCATTCTTCAATAAATGTGCTTTTATATATGAATGTAAATTTACTCATAACATTTTTTGAGATGAAGTTAAAAGCTAAAATGGCCTGCATTATGGAAATTATTACTGTTGTTGGATTTCAATAATATGTGCTAATTACTTGAATATAATACTCCACCGGTTATTGGTAAGAAAATAGAGTCCAAATTCTTTTCATCTTTGTTAAAGTATGATATTATATTAAAAATAAACCATTTGTGTACATTACCAGTATAAATTTATAAATTTTGTTACGTTCTAGTTATTACATTTCCCTAAATGACATATATACAACAAATATTATGTTTACATGACTTTTTTTTTTGGTACTGGGGATCAACCTCAGGTTCTTGCACTTGCAAGGCAGGCATGGTGCCACTAAGCTAAACCTCTGGCTCCTTTATGAGATATTTTTAACCTAATAGCTGTGGCACAGTTCTTGCAAGTAGAAAACTTGACAACATCTAGTGCTACTGTGTCATTTTCTTTGGGATTTTTGACTGTTACTGATTACTCAATGATATTTAACTATTTATGCTTTAAAGTCCTTATTAAATAATTTTAAATGACAAAAGTGATTTTAGTTGAAATTCCAGAGTTTCCATCATATGAAAATATAAATATATATACACATATTTAAATATATATATGTATAATTTTATGTGTTTGGACTCTGTGGTTTGTATTCAGAAATAATGGAACAGTACCTGATTTTCTACAAATACACAATTTATATTTAATTACTTTTTGATTTACAGAAGGTTAGGACAGCTGGACAGATGTTGTGAACTAAAACTTATACATCACAGTTGTGTTTGAAATTAGGTGACCTCACAGAAAACAGCTGGTACTGGACACTCAATCTGGTCTTGCTCAAGCAGATTGACAGAAATAGACCATGGGAAATACCATAGTCTTCTTTCAGTTTTTAGAATTGTTTCTTCAAAGGTCTGGTCAAACCTTGCTGGTTTCAAGAATTTCTCTGAACTCTAATCTTGAAGATGTTTCTCTTTCTTTGCTCACCCTTGTCACTTCCAGGGAAACGAAGCTTCCAGATACCCAAAGGCCTCTTGCCTTATGCAGAGTTGGTAGGTTTCAAAGGCCAAGATATTTGCTGTCTTAGAGCTGTACAGAAATGTTCATCTTCTATGCAGATCAAAATGAACTTCCTAAATGCTGCTAACTCAAGATTAGATACAGAGCATCATTTCTTTCTTATTTTTTAGAAACAGAAAACTTTTATTATTTGGAAGGAGAAGTAGATGCTCTACTTTGTGGCAACAGAACAGATGCTAGGTAAGTAGTACTAATGTTTTCTTCTATCCAATTAGGGTCATCCATCAGTAGTACTTACTGAATCATTATTCCTTTTACTGATGTGCTCCCAGTTGATTCCCACAATTTTATCTCATTTTATGATCAAAAACATGGTGAGTGCTGAGGACATAGCTCTGCAATTGGGCCCCTCCCCAGCAAGCAAGCATGGGGCCTTAGCTTCAATCTCTGGTGCCAAAGAAGAAAAAAAAGAACAAAAAATACCTTTCAGAAAAATGTCAAGAAGTTATCCTAGTCCATTTGTGGGCATGACATAGACTTTGTTTATAAACACCAGAAACTTATTTCTTTCAGTGTGAGAAGCTCAAGTTCAGATCAGGGTGCCAGCAAATTTGCTGTCTGGTGAGCCTACCTTTGGCTCAGGGATGGTGCCTTTTTGCTGTGTTCTTTTAAGGCAGAAGGGCTACCAGCATCTTCCCTGGATCTCATTTGTAAGGACATTGGTCATATTCATGAGGCCTTGTTTCCTGATATAATCACTTCCCAAATATGCTACCTCCTACTATATCACCTTAGGGTTCAGAATTTAAATACAAATTTTCACTGAAGCTGAAATCTGCAGTATGGAATAATATTAATTCAGATTCAAAGAAAAGCCAGAGGCAGACTACTAAAACAATTGATTTAAGGACAAGAACCTAGCAAATCTCAGAACTGGAGCTTCAGCAGGAATCTGATTTGCTCTTTTCTGTGTGTCCCAGCACTTGTGAGAATTACAAAGACAACATAAATTTGCTCTCTTTTATAGAAAAGAATTATTATAATTATGCCACTATTTCATTTATTTATGTTATATATGTCATTTATGGCTATAGTTTACATTAATAAATATTACTATTCTTTAAAATACTATAAATACTTATTCAGTGAAAAAATAAAACTTTCATGTCTTACTGTCCTATAATTTCAGAAGAGCAAACAAATAAGCAGAACCAGTGCACATCTCACCACTGTTGACCCAAAAACACAGTTTCCCTGTGTTGCTTTGCTTAATTGGGATGAATTGTGAGCAATCCAAAAATCAGCTCTTTTTTTAGGTTTTGCGGACCAGATTGATAAATCAAGGAAGAAGCATGAGTTGTGTAGTTGTATTTTTTCTCTTAGTTGCCATAGATCTTTCTGTCCAGCTTCGGTTGAGCTTCCACTTTTTCTCCAATTATCTAATTTGTGAACCCTCCTCTTTGGATAACGTTCTATTTCAACTAACTCTTTTTATGCAGATCCTCATCTCAATTATGACCTGAAATGTGTTTCAAAGATGTCTGGTTTTGAATCTTCAGAGCACAACCACATATTTTAAGGCAAGAAGAAAAAGCCATACAATGTTTCATTTATAGCAATTACACTTTGCTATACAATAAACTACCCCCTCAATTAGTGACCAAATATAAGAACAAAAATTTATTTTCTCAGTTTCTGAAGGTAAACATCTGCAACACTCAAAGCCTACATTTTGGGGGTTTGTTGTTGTTGTTGTTTTTTTCTTTTCTTTCAAATTTGACAGTAAGGTTTAATGCTCTGCACATTAAAGTATCAAAATTGTTCAGCAGCACAGAAAGTCCCAGGCTGTGAAGTCCTTGTGTCCTTGGTGTCTGTCCTCGGGTCTTTCTGCACATAGGGGTGCTGTGGTGGGAGCATCTGGCACCACCAGACAACAGAGGGTTCTTCGATGGGCAGCTGGCTAATAGTCCTTCTTAAACTTGCTGGTGAGGTAAGGTACCCAGTCCAGGATCAGCCGCTAGTTGGTGGCCACACCAGCTCCAGGGAGCCCAGAATAACCCACATGGTGGCTGTTAGCGTCCCGTTCTTGGCCAGCTCCCGGTAGATAATGTGATACAGAAAGATGGCTCGGATTGAGGGAAATGTGATTTCTTTGGCTACTATTAAAATAATAGACCACAACACTCATGCATGCCACTAGTTAAAGTATGAAGACTCCCTAAAAGGAAATAAATATTTAATCTACTCTTTCTCCCCAAATGTTTATTAATTATTGATGTAATAAATGTTTTCTCACCCTTAAATAATGGAATCTAAGGGTTTGAGTAAGATCATTTGAAAATTAAAGTCTTAATTATTGCAGTGTTATTTTTATCGGTACTATTTTCCTATAATTGTATTTTTGCTGTGACTTTGAAAAAAATAATAATAATGCTGTGAGGTCCAGGGATTTAGCTAAGTGTTTCCATTGCCTGCCTCACAAGAGCAAAGACCCGAGTTCAACCCCCAGTACAAAGTGATGATGATAATAATAATGATGAGGATGATGATGATGCTAGGATAAGTAACATGATATTATTTCTTTGGAAAATTGTCAAGATACTAGAATTTAAGTGTTCTCACCAGGTAAATAATGTCATAAAATGAATACATTAATTAACTGGATTTAGCCATTTGACACAATGTATACATAGTTCAAAGACCATGTTATACATAATAAATACATACAATTTTTATTTGGCAATTAAAGCATAAATAAATGCAAAAATATAAGTGCTTTGCAAAACTATCATGATGGCTCCTTTTTATTTTAGCTTAACATTATTCATGTGTATCTACCTAAAATCTAACTAATTTTCATCATTTCAACTGTAAAGTTTTGAAGGGAAGATTAGTGACATCCTGTGGAGTGAAGAGCCCTCGGTATTCACACACAGCATGTTTCCAATTTATGATTTGGATATAACCTGAAAGTCATGTAAGCAGTTTTTCTTTTCTTCTCCTTGTCTTTAGTCAGTGTCCTGAGGGATATGTGTGTGTAAAAGCTGGAAAAAATCCTGATCATGGCTCTTCCAATTTTGACAATTTTGGGTGGGCCTTCCTTGCCCTGTTTCGATTAATGACTCAGGATTACCCTGAAGCGCTTTATCACCAGGTAAGAAGAGAGAGAACTTACTCTGCACTTAAACATGGCATCATGCGATCCTTTCTCCAAAATGATCAAATGTAATAGAGTATATTAAAATTTTATGTGTGAAAGAATTTGAGTATAGAAGGAAAGTATAGCAGAATTATTGAATGTCAATTATGTAGGCCACCATGCCAATTTTATGCTTTTGTGTGTGGTATCTCACTTTATCATGGAAACAATCCTACAAGGTTAATAGAGAGTTTCTGGCTTACAATGGCCTCTTGTACAAGTTTTTAGCTTCAAAAGATTGTGAAAGTATATTCATTCAGTAGAAACCACACTATGAAATGTAAATTTTGATCTTTTTCCAGGGCTGGTACTACATGGTACTATGGCTTTTCTCCATGGAAGTGACCGCAGGATCACAGGGGAAATAGCTTATGTTCCATAGGGGTCTGTTTTGCTAAGCTGTGTTGCTCAGTAGACTAAATTAATTACCTTCACAAAAATTATGAGTCTGCCTTCATAGATAATTATGGGTACCATAGTTTTTCACAATTGTATAATAAAAACAGATTCAATTTTCCCTTAATGAGAAGTTGTGTCACAATATAATTTACTGTTATTTTCAAAACAGCATAATTAATATTGAGATGTTAGATAAAATTATTACTCTAAATTCTGAATATATTTATAATTAAAGGGGAATTTTTCTTTCAAAAATACAATACAAATACACTATACTTATTTTGACTGACTAAATTGTGCCCTAGTTCAGTGGTAAAATTTTTTAATCAAATTTTAAGTAGCAGACTGGGGGATTTAGCTCAGTGATTTCCCCGCCTGCCTCACAAGTGCAAGGTCCCGAGTTCGATCCCCATTACAGAAAAAAAAAAAAAGTAGCTGGTTTACTGAGATATAGGGGTTATGAAAAATACAAGTATACTCAGCCATGACTGGTGGATCATACACGCAGCATTCTGGGAGGCTCATGCAGAAGGATAACAAGTTCAATATCAGCTTGGGCAGTTTAGCTAGATCCCTTCTCAAAATAAAAAAATACAAAAGGGCTGGCATCGTAGCTCAATGTGAAGGCTTTGTAATCTATTCCTAGCCCCACAAACAAAAGTGAAAATAAATATGACCCAAGTTAAATTAAAATTATTTATTGACTATTGGAATTTCATAAATATTACTTTTTTTCTGCAATGGAACTAGAACCCATGGGTGTTCTACCACTGAAATATATTCCCAGGCTGATTTATTTATTTATTATTTATTTTATTTATTTATTTAGAGACAAAGTTTCACTAAGTTTCCCAGGCTGGCCTCACATTTTTCCACATAAATAATATTTTTGTATTGATTCAAATGGATTTTTAAAAGATAAGACTGTTACCATTTTGTTCAAATACTTTCAATTGATGGAAATAAATGCTAGATACTAGACAAGATTTTGCCTTATAATTTTCTAAACTCTTAAATATTCCAATCTATTAGGTAACTACTGGGAAATGAAGAATACTCGTGGTCCTTTATATTTTTTGTTCACTAATATCCTTACTATAATGATTTTATGTGGGTCACATATGTCATATGATTTTCTCATTTTATTTATCTAAATGTCTTACACCAAACCAGGTACTGTGACAAGTTTTAATTTTTTTCTTCTTCTCAACTTTGTATATGCTTAATTTTGTATTTTGATTTTCATAAAAGAGAGGAGAATATTCTCCACAACATTCTCTGATTTGACTAAATTTTCAATATTTAAAGATTCGATTGCACAGAAGAAAATAATTTTCCAATTGGTGACTGGTCAATTTATTCATTAAGAGGCAATGACTTTTTGACAAGGACTGTGACATGTTCTCCTAGCTCCGGCTGCTCACAAGACTGTGTCAGTGGTATCAGTTGAGCTGAGGAAGTAAGCCAACATAGCAAGTCTCTGTCTAAATAAATAAATAAGAAAGAGAAGATTATCCTTTCTATAATGAAGATACAAAAGTCAACTGCTCACGCTAAATTAATTTAATTATTTAATTTCCCTAATTCACCCTTGGTTTTGTAGCATATATGTTATGCCTCATATATATGTATAACGTTGAGGAGATTTTTTTTTTATATAGCCAGTGCTTAAGCTAATTTTCATTACATCAGTTATGGATAAATTTGATAACAAAATTTCATTTATCTTTTAAAAATAGAATACAAATAGACAAATAACATTTCCCTCTTTTTGTTGTATTCTTCCTTTCCTTAGATTCTTTATTCATCTGGGAAGATCTACATGATATTTTTTGTTGTGGTCACATTTTGGTTCACCTTTTATATTGCAAGTTTGTTCTTAGGCATAATTTCTATGGCCTATGAAGAAGAAAAGCATACAACTTCTAAAAAAACTGAGATTGATCCAAAATTTCAACAGACTATAAAAGCACTTCAAGAAAGAAATGAAGCAGCTGAAGTATGATTTCTTTATGTTTCTTAGAATTATATTTCTACAGGTTCTATCTCAAGGACTTGAAGTATATTACATTCTGATAGATGCTTATATATATGTGGTACATGAGTAAAGCTAATTACAGGAATCTTTTAATATACCATCATAAGAATGACCAAAATATTTCAATATTTAATATGTATATTTTTTCAAAATTTATATTGCTATTGCTGATAAACTATGAATATGATTTTAGAATTGATCTCTTGTAATACAGGTATATTTTAATAATTCACACTTGCATCGGATAACATACCAGAATTAACTTTGGAAACTGTTGAATATTCAGTTCCAAATTGATGGTACATTTCCTAATTGAGAAGAGATGAATTACCAAAAGAGTGAATAAAAGAACATTAGTAGCTTTATAAAAAAGAAAAAAGCATGTATTGATGTTCTAATTCTTTCAACAGGATGTACACTGTGCAGGATATGTAGGGAATTAATTTACCTATAGTATAATCAAATCCATGATTAATAAAAACGTCAACATTTTCCCCAAATTTAAATTATCCTAATGCTATGTTGGAATGCTTATGTGAAAGTAATGACAGAAGTAACAGTAAGGAAGTTGTAGAAAATTATTTTGAAAAATTTAAATTGTGAGGGCCAAGTATTTAGCTCAGTGGTTCTGCCACCCATCTTGCAAGCACAAGGATCCAAGCTCAGTACCCAGTACCAAAAAAAAAAAAAAAAAAAAAAAAAAAAAAAAAAAAAAAAAAAAAAAAAAAATCTAAATCGTGGTGTAAAAGTTATAAACTGAACTTTTCTCAACTTCTTTGAACTGTTGTACTAGCAGATGAGAATAAAAAGGAACCCTTCCATATAAAAAGACAAAAAGACTAGGGAAATGTAAAGGTCCAACACTGAATAAAATGCCTAGGAACTTTAGCCGGGGGGTTTATTAATACCAGAAGTCCCTTCTGAAGCAAAAAGGGAAGGAAATCTTAACTCCTCATATAACCATTTTATTAAATTATGGTCAATAAAAAGCTTTCAGAAATCGTTGTGCCAAAAAGTGCACCCTAAATGGTGCAAAGTAGGATCTTACCCATGACCCGATACTTGTGTTCATGACATACATATCATTGGACAAGAAGTAATTATGGACGCTGTGAAGGAAATACATATAAAAGAGATTATTGTCTCTCATGGTTGAGTTACAGAAAAATGAATTACAAGAGCTTTCTGTCTCCAGAAATGACTCAGTGTCCTTAAATTGAATTATTAAGTTTGAATGCTACGTTGAATGTGTAATTCGTTCTCAAGTGACATTTCAGAAGGTCAAGGGCTGTGGCTACTCACAAATCTCTCCTGGAGTATAATAGTTCTTTTATTCCAAGATGAAGTACTTTATTAACGCTGACCTTGAAAGAATTTCAGTATTTCCCATCATTTCCTTTCACTTTGCTATTTGGAGCATATGAAGCTTTCTTGATTTTAATTAAACTCTTTCACTTATAAAGGACTTCTTTTCCTGGAAGAGTCCTAGAACATTTCGTCATGTGGAGACTTTTGGGAAATGAGAGTAAAAAGCATGTTCATGAATGTTTAAACTTTTACACACATATTTATAGAATGGGAAATATTGAGGGCTTTTTAAGTGATTGAAGACCAATCAGATTACGATTCCAATGCTGGAATTAGAAGGAGATAATTTAGATGCATCTTATTCTCGTATTGTGGAAAGCTATAGATTGTATTTGCTAAAAGCACCATGTTGCAGTCAGAAAACTATAGGTTTCAGGCTATTTTAGCCATGTAATATATATATGTATATGTGTGTGTGTGTGTGTGTGTGTATGAGTATGACATTTGAAAAACTATTAACCATGTTTAAAATTCAGACTTTATTCTGAAAACATTTGTAAAATTATAGTACTTGTCATGGATTGTTTCAAGCCCAAATGAAACATATGTAAAGCATCTTGTAATACTTAGAATAAACTAAGCAATTGAAAAATTATGAAATATATTAATAAAATTGTCATATATTAGAATTACACCTCATATTAAAGATAGCTTTTACCCAAACGATCACATACAATAGTCAATACAAGAACTCTTGATCTTTTTGGAAAAGTCTGTCTTTGAATTGCTACACATTACATATATGAATTATTTCATAGTGATATAATATTAATACTTATAATATTAGTGTTTATTTTTATTTACTGTGTTCCAGACTCAATGTGAAATGCTTTACATACATTCTCATATTATATCTGTCATAGCCTTTTGAATTGTAAAAATTATCATTATATCCCAAGAAGAAAATTGACATGTAGTCTCCACCGTAGCAAATGTAGAGCTAGACACAATATTAAAGCAAATATTAAATTTTTATAATTATTCCCTGTCAACTTTAATTCACCTATAATGAAGAATATAGAGAGCCACTGACACAATTATAGAAATGGAAAAACTCCATTAACATGAATTCTTAAGTCTTTGACTATATTTAGGCATAATTAAAATAATAACAATAGAATAGTAGCAGTATAAAAAGCTAATTGAGTGCTAGAAATGGTGCCAGCTATCTGATGTGTCCTCATATAATATTAAATTCAGTCTTCATTACAGTATTACTGATGCAAGTTTGAACTATGCTGACTCTGACTCTGGAGGAATCGCCACTGTTCATTTTACTACCTTGCTCTGGAGCCAAATGCTGAAACGGTATTATTCCATCAGTTACACAGTTTGCAGGTGTATTTCCCAAGTATTGTTAACTACTAGCAAAAACTCAGGAAGAATATTAGGTATTTAAAAAAATTTGCCACATCTAAATACCTCCTTCCAGCTCATTTATCTAATAAATTAAAACATTAGTGACCATTGTAGTAAACATGAAAGATGAAAAATTTTAACAAATACAAATACTTTGTCTATATTCATGAAGCTAATAGTTTAATGGGGAGACTATAAAATTATCATAAACACAAAATTGTATACCAAAGACAAGAAGTTATGTATTTCCAAGTGCTATGAATAGGAAACACAAAGCAACATGCATACTATATACCTGCCAATTCTAAGTCTGGTAAGCCTATTGATATGACTTGTCTTTTTCTGGGACTCTAGGAGAGAGAAACACATGGTAAATTACATTGAAAGGTCACAACTTGCCTAAATGAGAATGTGAAATCCTCTATAAGTGATCCAGTATTTTAATAAATCATATAAAAATAAATTCAAATCAGAACATAATTAGTAGATCTCCAACCAAATGCAAGTGTAATCCTTGTTTGTACTTTTATTGGAATAAATAAACTATGGAAGAATTATTTAGTGGTGCGTGGTAGTTCTCTCCTATTATCCTAGCACTCAGGCTGAGGCAGTAGAATTGCAAGCTTGACTCCCAACCTAGGCAACTTAAAACAACTTGTCAAAAGTCAGCTCAAAATAAAAATACAAAATTTTGAGAATGTAGCTCAATGTGAATGCCCTTGATTTACTTCCCAGTACTGAAAAAAAAAATTGAGCAATTAAAGTAAACAATATTATCCGGGTATTGGGTAATATTAATAAATTACAATGGTATTATGATATATGCTTTTTAAGGAGCTTCCTCTGAAAATTATACAATGTCAGGATTTTATACAAGTTGTTTCAAATAAATGAGTTGAAAATAAACAGAACAGATGAATATAATGTTATTAATTGTTGAGGCTAGCTACTGAGTCTGTATGGTTCACTCTATGATTATTTTTTTTAATGCAACAAAATGAAAGAAGTACAATACAGCAGAGAGGCATGATACAGTGAGAACCCTTAATAAAGGATTTCTCAGTCAAAAAAGGTTTAGATATTGATATACAGGAGAAGCCTATGCTGAAGGGAGGGAGCAAGAGTCAAAGGATAGGAAGACAGAATGGCTACATCCAGAAAGCAAGTCTGAACCTGGGGAACATATCAGACGTTTGCACCTGAATAAATGCAAAGCAGTGCAGTATTCCTAGGCTCTTCCTTATTCATGCCTCCATCATAAATAAAATTTAAATGAGTTTTGAGAAGTGCTCTTTTCCAGTCTAATCTCATTGCCATTGTCTAAATTTCAGGCATATACCCTTATTAGCTCTTAAATTTCCAAAACAGGACAGTTCTTGAGTTACAGCATTCCAAATTTGGTTTGGAAACAGCTACATCAGTACTTGTCCAATACATGGCCACTCATTCAACATTAGTTCAATTGAAGTACATATATTACTAAACTAATGTATGATCCATTCATTGTGTAGTGTAAAATATCTTCACAGTTCACATCATATGGGTAGAAAATTGAGCACTGAGTGTATTGAGTGTATCAACAATCACATTACTGCCAGTCTCCCCTTCCCTACTCCCACACAAACACAGTTTTCTTTGTTGGACTACTCTCTTGCAAACAAGCATTGTGATGATCTAAAATAGTTCCATGAAAAACAATTCCTCTTTATTAAAAAATGTTGTTGAATTATTTCACACTGTATCACAAAGTATCATCTTTGTGCAGGCACCTATCTGGGTTATCCCTTTTAGATATTAGTAACATTAAATTTATTTCTATTGATCTTTCATCTCATGTAACTTTGGAATTGTATAATTTGTAACTTCCATGTTATGCAACCTTATAATTCAGTGAAAACATTATCTGAAATAAACATTTCTTAAGTAAATAAATTAAACTCAGCTATTGAGATTTCAACTAAAAGTAAGTGAGGGACTGAAGCTCTGCAAAATTCAGAGAATCTATCACTTTCCTGATGAAAATCAGTGTGCACTATGATTGGTTTCAAGCTAAGTTTGATATTTAAGAAATTAGAGGAGTCTTGTCTGATGCTGAGTGACACAAATATGATGACTCCCTTGATATCCATCTTGCTGCCTCAGGTGTAGAGCAGCAGAACTTGGTCACCTGAGCACTATGCTGGGTATGGTAATTGATGAGCCTTGGCCATCACTGCCAGTGTGAGGGCAGCAGCAGCCTCCTTGCCAGTTAACTTTATTTCAGGGAAGCCCCACCTGTTTACCTCAAATTAACCAGCATACAAACATTGTCATTATTTGTGTATGTCCAGTGTAAAAACAGGAATCAATACCCGATGTCCTGTCATCCATCTATTATCATGCTTTTAGAGATTAAATATGAATACAGCCTTACACATAATCACTGGAAGCATCTCTGGCAATGCTTGTGATTTCTATGATTGTGTAGAACTTGTAATATCTATATCAAAATCTAGGACTTTTGAATATCTTTACAATGCAATGATTCTCTTTTTTTCCAGTGATTCTTTTTAATCCTGTTACAAGATGAACAAAGCTAAATAACCCATAAAATGTTACTCAAAAGATATGAGAAACAAACAAATTATTCCTTTTTGGAACAATGTCCTATCCTGTTAGTTTAGTATCATATATGTTCTGTCCAAGTCAGCCTTTTAAAATATATTCCAATACCTGATACTCTTTAAAATGTATTTTGCCATCAAAACTCTAAATTATTTTTATTTCTCCAGGAGAATTTTAAAAGTTATGCACTTAACATACACTTAAGCAAAAGAAAGAAAAACGTAAGGTGCTAGGGAAATATTATTCATTAACATATTAGAAATGGAACATTTTACCATAATCTTTCACCCAATTATTGACTTATTTCTCAAACTTAAGTAACACCACTAACTTTTACTGATATTTACTTTTACTGTTGAATTTATAGTATAAAATTTCATTGGCTATGTGATACTTGTTTTTTTTTTAAATGATCCTAAATAGTTTAATACTGCAAATAATGCAGAGATTGTCAAATGATGGAACTCAAAAAGGTTCCTAGAAGCAAGAATCGGCATTTTTAGAAAGGTTTTAACCTTTTTACAGTTGTAGTTTAGTTGTAGTTTAAAGGGAAAGGCAAATATTATATGCACTACATTTGTTTTCAGACTAAAACCACACAAATAGAAATGAAGAAAAGATTTCCAACTTCCCTGAGCACTTCGGAGGAAATGTTGGAAGAGTCTACACTTGGACATAAAGAAGGTAAATTAAATAAAATAAAAAAACACAAACAATTAGACATTCAAGGAGGTGGTATTGTGGTATTTGTAACACTCACTTTAAAGGAAATCCTTCATTTTTTCAGAATTTAGATGATTAGAGCCAAGATTTTAAAATAATGTTATAATTTTTTCATTCATTAATTTTATGCTATATTTTAGGTACACAATATGCTGACATTCATTATTTGGAATTTGTACCTTTACATAATCTATCTTGGTTCTTATTTTTCCCCTTTCTCCTACCTTCCCTTCAACTCCTATTTGCAAAGACTTTATTTCCATTTTTTACTTTTATCACATTTGTTCCTTTCCCTTCTTTCCTTCCCACCCCTCCCACTTTGCCTTCCTCTTTGGACCTTTTCTTCCTATTTCACAATTCTAAAAATTAAAAAAAAAATGTGTGTGGACCACACAGCCTAGAACTATTGAAAAAAAAAAGAAAAAGATGTTTCATTAATGCAGAAAACATATAGATGACAATATATTTTATTGTTTACAATGAAAAATGTCAAAAAATTATAAAAAATTTAAATTGTCAAAATTTATGTACATAAACAGACCTAACATGTTAGCGTTTGCAGTCAAGAGAAATGTAAAGATGCAATGCTGAATCAAACTTCAGAAAATAAACTATAGCATATACTATAATAATTTTGTACTCACCTTCCATTATTATTAAAATGAGCACAGTAGGGAATAAACTTAGGAAAACTCTGTAGGGCACTAATCATCTCTATATATGAACAGGTCATAAATTGCATGTCACAGTACAAAGAAATCTGCAATTCTCACATATACTCACTAATCAGATATAAATGATAAAGATACATGACAACAAATCTTCTAGTTAGCAATAGGGTATTCATAAGTTTTAGGAGATTCAAAAATTGTATCAGAATTTTCTACTGAACAAAGGACTTCGTCCCTGATTTCTGTGTTGTTCAAGGGAGAGTTGTGTAACATACTATCTGAAGACCCTAGATCAATCTCTACATTTTTACACATAACCACTAGTTCTTTATAATGAATAGTGTTGAAAGGCACTAATGTTGTAAAGCATACAAAGATAGAATGTTTTGGAACTGGGGATCACACTCTGGTCTTTACGCTTGCAAGGCAGGTAGTGGAACTACTGAGCTAAATCCCTGGCCCTTTTAATTTTTAACTTTTCTCTCATTTCAGAACTTAATAAATCCAGGAAGAAATGCCCATTGTGTTGGTATAGGATTGCGAAAATTTTCTTGATCTGGGATTGTTCTCCTTGCTGGCTAAAATTGAAAGACTTTGTGCATAGAATTATAATGAACCCATTTACTGACCTTTTCCTTGTCATATGCATAATTTTAAACATACATATTTTGGCCTTGGACCATTACCCAATGAATGAAGACACCGCAAATTTTCTCAGCAATGGAAGCATAGTAAGACTCATTATACATTATTTTCAAGTACAATTTCATCATTATTAGTGGATTATTCATCATTCTCATTTTTATGTCATAACTTCAGTATGTTCTGGTGCATATTATTAAATTACTGTTGAGTGAAACATTTTTTTTCTTTTTTATTGAGTTTATTGGTATATTTTAGGTATACAGTACAATTACATTCATTATTGGGATCTTGTACCTTTACATGACAGGCCTTGGGTCTCATTTTTTCCCCTTGTCCCTGCCCTCCCTTTACCCCCTCCTCTCCTCCCCATTTACAAATACTTTATTTCCATTTTTTCATTTTCTCATATTTTTTTCTTTCCCTTATTACCTTTCCCCTATCCTTCCCACTTTCCCTACACTTTTAGCTCTTTTCTTCCTATTTCCCATGGTCAGTTAGTGATATATGCACACTTATGTTTATAGCGGCACAGTTTGTAATAGCTAAAACTTGGAAACAGCCCATTTGCCCATCAGTTGGAAACAGGATAAAGATGTGGTTCATCTATAAAATGGAATATTACTCAGCCATAAAGAATGAGAAAGTAGAGTTATTCATAGGAAAATGGATACATATTGAGGATATACTCCTAAGTGAAATAAATAGGCCACACATGTAAATACCGAATAGTTTCTCTGGTGTGAAAAACTATAATAGTACATAAGATCCTAGTGAGATGTTGAGTGAAACATTAAGTTTATGCTTTACTCCACCTGCCCAACCTCTCAACTTGTAAATGTTATCATCAATAGTATTGGAATTGGCAGTTACAATATTGTGACTTAAATTCTGGATTCTGAGCCAGTTGCTTGGTAGTCAAATTCATTGGAAATTATGTATTGCCTGTCCCTCTTCAAACATACAGTCTTGGTACCATTGCCCCATACATCTGAGTAGACAGGTGCAAGAACAGCAAGAATTCTGAATCCTGAATTCAGCAATGCCTGGCCCTGTCTGTTTTGTTTGCTTGCCTTACACTGGAGCTTATCATTTTGCCAAGGTATTTTAGAGATTAACTTGTCCTTTAGCAAATAAAGTTTAAAAACAAAATACATTTACACAAGTATATATTATTTACATTTCCTATCTTTTATTGTTGTTTTAGTTGCTTAAGGCTAATAAAAACAACCAAGCATATCAATCAGTTTTGAACTCTACATTTAGTAGATACTAAATCAATGATCTACTTATTTCTGCTAATGCAGTCTTTAAGACATTTTTCGAAGGTTTGCCATTTTATTCTGGATAGTGTATATCCATTTTTATTCTTTCATAGGTTGAAAAGTTGAATATCTTAGCAAACACTTCATATCTCAAAAGGAACAATTCAAAATGGAAAGATTTTCACCCTCAGATATTCTTTTGTCTTCTGCGAGTATGGCATTTATTAAAATAATCAGTCATTTCATAAGTGGTGTCTGACATGAGATAGTTAAATACAATGTACATGTTTTTTGTCATAATGCAGCTTCAAAACTAACCAGATCTTGAGCAGGGTTTTGAAGAATGTGAGGGTGAAATGTTGACACTGTATTACAGTTCCTGTGTATGACATTTCTGATATAAGTATTGGAATAATTGTTCCCTGTGTGTTCTGTTTTTATTTAGATTTTTTTTGGCATCTTTACAGCAGAAATGATCCTTAAAATAATTGCCATGAATCCATATAAATATTTCCAAGTTGGATGGAACATTTTAGACAGCATAATTGTATTCCTTGGCTTCACAGAAATTTTTCTAGCAAGTATTGAAGGACAGAAGATAGTAAGTAGAATCCAAGTTGTAATTTTTATTTTAGCAGTTTTCTGAAACATAAAATGAGAAGTTTGGAACATCAAATTTCCTCATTTGAACAGTGGGAGTATTTAGTGAATTGATCCACATATAAAGAACTTAGTGGAAAGTAAGCTATTTCCACTGCTATTATTTGATTCAAGTTTTAACGTAAATAGGGCCATGTATGCAACACATTTCATATGCAGTTGTAGAAACCAGAGCCAGCATAATTGAAGATTATTTTAAAGGCAAGATAATGCGTTCTAAAAGTGGAATGCCAATCTGTTACTAAGAAACTGGAAATAAATAAATATTTCTAAATGTGGATTAAAACATTTATTTTAAAAGTCAAATGTATCTATAAAGTTTATTAGGTAACAATGACATGTTAGGGAAGTAATGAGAATAAGAAAACTAGGCAAAAAAACACCAATATTAAACAACACTGATGGCCATGTTAAGCTTTCATTAAGTAACATACTGTCACATTCTAGTGACAAATTGACAGAGAGAATGGAGCAGGAATCAGAAACAATGAAGCAGATTTTATCTTATCCAAATGATTATTTCCCAAAGGGCAGCTTCTTCAGAACCCTATCTTAAATCTTCGACCTTCAACTCAGACAGTGAACAGAAGAAATATATACAGAATGCAGATATCAAATTTATGAATGAATGAGACTGGCAAATACAGAAAATATGCTAAAAGATATTAAAATATATTCAAATTCAGTAATAGACTAAATTTAAGATGACTAAATTTTACATAGGTAAATGTAGAGTCTTACTCTCTAGTCCAGAAAGCCAAAGATTGCATATACTTGAAAATATCATGCGGGTATAACATGTACAAAAGTTGTATGAGTTTTAGATAACTGTATATATACTGTAAAACAATAAAAAGATTTAAGATGATTTTATACTATCTAGATACAAATGAAGTATCTGATACAAGAAGAGTAATGTGTGTATTAAACTTGCAATGTTGGACTTTGTCTTTGGCATGTTAATTTTTAGTAGGATCTTCAGGAGAATTCAACGGCTCCTGACAAAGCTTTTCAATATCACCACGGTGTCACAATGTGGAAGAATAGCCAATACACTGTGAAAAGCAAATCAAAGAATGGATACTTGTTCTGCCAAATATGAAAACAGAAAACTTTAATATTGAATGAGAGCTGACAAACTGTTCAATAGATGGGGTTATGTATAGATTTGCTCTACAAGGTCATGTAATATGTGTTTTATCGAAACTTTTGTGTAAAATAAATACTCCGTGGTTGGCATTAATACCTAACACTGAATGTTACTTTAAAGGCAGTGTGTATGTGAATAGAGTGCTGCTACAAGTTTGAAATGTATGTTAGAATAAATACTGACTGGACTTTCCTGTTGCTTGCTTCGGTTTTATATTTTTTCATATTGTTCTTCTAGTTGCAAATTTTCAAGTTGGGGAAATACTGGCCAACGTTTAAGAGGCTGATGCTGACTCTTGGTAACTCGTTAATGGCCCTGAAAGACTTGATCCTGCTGTTGTTCACATTCATCTTCTTTTCTGCTGTGTTTGGCATGAAGCTGTTTGGTCAGAGTTACAAAGACTGTGTCTGCCGCATAGACAAAGATTGTCACCTCCCGCGCTGGCACATGCATGACTTCTTCCACTCCTATCTGCTGGTGTTCCGCATTTTGTGTGGAGAGTGGATAGAGGCCCTGTGGGACTGCATGGAAGTGGCAGGCCAATCCTCGTGCGTTTGTTTTTACATGATGGTCATTTTGATTGGAAACTTATTGGTAAGTATTCCGTGCTTTTACATTGCCCTGGAAAGTAACTAGTACAATATACTTTGGCATCTTCATGATGTTAGATGGAGAAAGGCCAGCAGTCAATATTGGGACCACTAGCCCTGTCGGCTCTTATCAGATAAAATACGGCTGATAAATGCCAGATGTACAGTAAACGTAAAATATACACGTAATTTGTAATCTTTCCTAAATATAACTTAAATTGTCATCAATAATTTTATATTGAATGCATTTAAAACAATATCTGTATTTTACTAAGTACATCTAGTTAAATAAAATACATTATAAAGGTAATTTCACCTGTTTTTTGTTTATACTTTCAATTTGTTTAAAATTGCATATGTAACATATCATATTTCAATTGGACACTACTAGTTTATAACCTTGTTACTCAAAGCAGTACAGGCATCAGGCAATGAAGGCGAACCTTTTAGAGTCTGAGTAAGAAACTACAACCTCAAACCCACTTATGTATCACAAAGTGCCAGCTCTGCAATTAAACCCAAACACTGAGGTTTTAGTTTAGAAAAAACAACTCTATGTTAGCATCTTTTGTCTTAAAAGAAAAACACAACAACACATGTACCACAGGTTCACCACCACTGAGAGATCATTAGACATGTAGACGCCTAGGTGATACACTAGATCTGTGGGAGACAACTCTACATTGCAACAAAATCCTCAAAGGATTTGAGTGCTTGTTAATTTTTTAAAAGCACTTAAATGGAACACTGGTTGTCAAATTTGTCTGCACATTCCAATTATCTAAACAGTTAAAAAAATTGTTGAACCTTCAGATCCATTCCCAGCATTTCTGATTTTATTGATATGTGCACATGGGCTGGATATCAGAATTTTGAAAAGTAATTCTCATTGACTTGAGTGCAACAAAGATTGTAAGCCATTGGTTCATAAAACCATTCTTCCCAAACTTTCATTTTTAAATGTCCTAATAATTAAATTTGTATTATATAAATCAAATAAGTAGCTTAAATTGCTTATAGAAAAAGGGCATGGTTTATAAATGAAAAGTATTCTTACAAGAAAAATATGGAATCAAAATTTGTTTCTTCCTCATATATCATGAAGATCAAGTACATTTAAAATTGAAAAAACATAAAAGTCAAGTCATGGATTACACCTAATGTTTTCTGTGGCCTGCATTACTTGTTTTAATCTTAGAAATCATACTGCTATACATACGACATTGGCATTGGGTTCATTTGCTGATGTAATGGTGAAACTTTGAGCTTCATGAGGGAAGAGACCATGAGGACTCTATCAGGAAGCTTGGAGTAATGCCCAACATGGAAAACTAATTCAATACCCTCTTCCCTTAGTAGCTATTAGTACACTTTCAACTTCCTGTGGTAGCAAAGACTATTCTATATGCCTAAAACAAAGCTGAGCTGATACACCACTATATAAAACACAAAGTATCAGCACCTGATCATGCTTCCATTATGGTATGCCACAGACAGTCAAATGGAGTTATTCCAGGCAAGAGTTTGTACATCTCAGTTCTGTCTTGGTCTTGCTCTTTACTTTTTCATCAGAGTGGCTCCTGCAGACTAACACCTCATATCCTCACATCACCACAATATATTAAGTCCAACAACAGAGGGATTTTTTTTTCTAGAAACCACAGGAAACTCTTTCTGTTATCTCATTAACTCTCATGCCAATTCCTGAACTAATCTCTCTACTTCACAAACTGTGTGATACATTTATTATATTAAGTCACTGAGAGAGCCCTTCCTTAAAGGTAGAGATAACTTCAGTCCAAGCCCAAATTATACCACTTATAGGATTAATAATGATGAAAGAATAATTCCCCAAATCCAATGTAGATTTTTGTCTCCAAAAGAAAGGGTTGTGACGGTTATGACTGGTGAGGGAAGAAACCATTGCACATGTGCCCCCCCCCACACACACACGCAGGCAGGGAGAGGGAGAGGGAGGGAAGGAAAGAGAGAGAGAGAGGGAGGAAGGGAAGGAGAGAGATCGTGAGGAGCAAAAATGCTAAGACGAATATGTAAACTCTGGTCTATTTGTCTTATTTTTGCTGATCAGAAACTTCAAGTCACCATCTTCCATTTCCAGTTATGTAGCCATCATATTTCTATAGATCTTTAAGCTGTTTTCTCTCAACAGTCGTCCATTTGTGGGACACAGTGATCATAACACAAGTATAAATATAAAGGGGGGCAAAGAAAGGGGATACACTGCGGAGATGCTGATCTTTTAACTTTCCATACTTTCAATGTGCAAAAGGAAGGTATTCTACATTTTTTTAATTTAATTTTTTTCTTATTCCAAAAGCAAAATTTCAATGTTTCTAACCTATAGCTAAAAGTCTTTCCTTAAAAAAGTATGGAAAAGCAACTGTTTAATTTGGGTTTTAAGTAGTTTTATCATTTTCTGTTGTAGAAAAAATAGAATTCAGGTTTTTTAAATCCACAGGTTGAATTCCAAGTTCTTTCATTTACTAAGTCTCTTCATATTACACGTCCTCTTTAAGTCTGACTACATTTAAAGAGGGAATAAACATAATAGTAATACCCCCCTTATAGTGTCACTGCAATTAATTATCACTCTGCACTCCATAAGCGATTATTTTCATTTCTTTATATGGTAGTTAATTTCAAAAAATTATTTAATATTATTTAGAAATTTCAATTCCTCACAAATACAGGTTCCTTCCAAGTATTTTGCCTGCAATTTAGATACTTGTCTTCAGGTGGATTATGGTATTTAGTATGATTGCATAAACCAAGCAAGAAGGGAAAAATACATATTGAAAGATATTGAAAATAATATGAAATTGAATTTAAGTTTGAACTTAGTGTGTATGTTATTCATACATATTTAAATGTTTATAAATTAAATATATATGAAGGCATCATTACGATAATATTAAAAAAAGTCTCAATACTTGATAGATTCCTGATCCATATTTATTTCTTAATTTCCATCAGAAAAATACAGGCAACCAAGTTTTGAATATTTCCTCTTTTTCATCCTATTTGATTGTTTTTTGGTACCGGGAATCAACTTGGGTCCTTATGTTTGTAAGGCAGGCGGTGGAACCACTGAGCTAAATCCCCAGCCCTCATCCTATTTGATTTTGACATGGGTGTTCAAGTCTCACTTTTTATATGTTTATCTTCAGAAGGCTGAGAGAAAATTTCAGGGGAAACTTTCAAATATTTTTTATACGTATTATTTTACTTTTTTGCCATAACACAGAAACAATAAATGTTTGCTTTGAGCCTTGTGAACAGAAGACCTGTGTGATGCAATCTCTTTCCTCTTCTTTTTATTAATATTCAAATTAGAAATTATCACTTGTTCATAACTGGTGTCATATAGACAGCCTGGTTATTATTTTTTTAATGTTTAAGAGATCAGGCTATTTTTAATTTACAGCATATCTCAAAAAAGTAGGAGTTTCCATTGCTATAAAGTTATTTCCTTCCACCACAGTTCTAGAGCATTTTGAACCATTAAAAATAAGTTAATTTTATCCTTTTAGCATTCTCACTACACATTCACATGTGTGTATATCTCTGTTTATAAGAAATCTTAGATTGTCACCTCCAGAAAAATAATTATCAGAACATAAATTTTTATTTTCAAAAACGTCCATGGTATTGTTCAAAATGTATTTTTATTTATTCTATAATTAACTTTTAAGAAATGTTTATAACCTACTTTTTTCTAGCAGTGTGCTGGATCATTTTGCGTTATACCTTGTACCCTGGAGATGATTATGTACAATGTGGTAACTATTCTTATTACTATAGGATTATGAAGTTTTATTTTTTCAAAAAATAAAAATGGAAGCTCTTGTAAAAGAAAGAGAGAAACAGAGGTCCTTGCTTATAAGAAGCCTAAAGTCATGAAATACTGACCTAACATCTTTTCCTTATTATGCACAATACTTAATCAAATAAAGTAATTTAAAATATTTTATTCTAAGTAACTATAAATATAGTTAAGAATTAAGAACTAAATGTACCCTTAGTTTAAAAGTAGAGTTCAGTATGTGAAAAAACTAGAAACATGGGAGTAAACATTTATTATGTAAATTTAAGTATGTAATTTGATATATAAAAATATATTACTAAAGGCTGAAGATTTAGCTCAGTGGCACTGTGCATGCCTCAAAAGCACAAGATCCTGAGTTTGATTCCCTCTCTAGTCTCTCTCTCTCCCTCTCCATCTATATATTATATATATATATATATTTCATTAAGCACAATGTACACACTTTGAACTTTTCCATTTATAAGTTATATGTAAAACAAAATAAATCTTCAAAATTTCAAATATCCCTAGAAAGGACAGAAAACTACCAGAATAAATATAATGCTGGAATTATTACTATAGGTCTAATAAATTAATAACTATAAATACACACCACTATAATCTAAGAATATAAACTATATGCTGCAATTACAAAATAAAATCAAATCCAGTTCTCTGTAATCTGAGCAGGGCTTGGTTATATTTCATAATAATGAGAAAGTAAAAATATGCACATTCTTGGGTTCAAACTGAAGTATTAGAAATAATTCTTTCACAGTTCATCTTTTTGTATGAATATATTAAACAGGAAATCTAAGGATCTACCCAACACCTGTGTTTTCGTGGCTCGCTATTTACCACAGGTGGTTTCAGGTCCTTGGATAAGTCCTACTCCTTGCTTCACAGAATCATTGCATGCCATAAAAGGGAAGGCTGAAGTGCAAACAGCTGCTTAAAGCAATAATTCATTGTCTCACCTCGAGTAATAACAGCCTGACTCAGTGATAAAATAAGCTCTGGCGTAAGGCAGACTTGAGTCTAATATTTGATGTCTGTAAGCCGTTCTTGTTCATCTGTAAAAGAGAAACAACACATTGCACAGTGTTGTGAGCCTGAAATGAGTTTTGGCTACTCAAACTCAGGACAGCACCTGGCACATCATTGGTGAAGCCAAACTGAGCACCACTGTAGTGCACACACGCACTTTTCAGATCTTGGATTCACATGTTTAGAAGATTGTTTCATATCCTTTAAAAGGAAAAAAGCAGCTGGGCGTGGTGGCTCATGCCTGTAATCCCAGCACTTGGGAGGCTGAGTCACGAGGATCGCTGTGAGTTTGAGACCAGCCCGGGCTACGTAGTGAGTTCCAGGTCAGTCTCAACTACATAGTGAGACACTGTCTCAAAAAAACCAAACAAAAATAAATAAATAAAAGGAAAAAAGTGAGATATAATTAGCTTTCTTTTACTTTTTAAATTTAGATCCTTTACCTGTTTCTGGGATTTGTGAGTTCATTTCTTTCATACAAAGATGCAACAACTGAAGAGAGCAACGAAGCCAAAAATATTCAGCTTGCAATGGCAAGGATTAAGAAAGGAATAAACTATGTGCTTCTTAAATTATTGTGCAAAAAGCAAAATGTTCCGAAGAAAACAGTGGACCATGTAAACGATACATATGTTAAAGAGAATATTTCAGATCATGCACTTTCTGAATTGAGCAATCCCCACGATTTCCCTCAAGACAAGGAGAAAATCAGTGACACAGAGAAAAACGCGATGACTGAAAATGAGAGTCAGTCACTCATCCCCAGTCCCAGCTTCTCCGAGACTGTACCAATTGCTTCAGGAGAATCTGACATAGAAAATCTGGATAACAAGAGAATTCAGAGCAAGTCGGGAAGTGGAGAGAGCAAATGGGTAAGATGCTATTTTCCTGATTATTTGCTAAATGTGTTTATGATACTCTTCATAAGGACGTACATCAATGATGAAGTTCCAGGTACAGATTACACATCCAATATAAGCTCTACAACTCCTAGTTCTTGATTTCATCCTCTTGAGCATAATACTTAAATTTTCTAGGTTTTATTTTCCTCTGATGTAAGGGAGAATAAAGTACCTCTCAGAAAGCATAAGGAGACTTAGAAAAAAATGGTTCAGTAGTAACTGCACATAAAACAATATGTGTAAGCATTTAGGTAAATTAGATGGTGTGATTGTGCAATTCTATAAATCAGTGTGCTGGCAGTTTGGGCTGATGAAAAGCACACTGAAAAATCTGTTTGTAAAATCAGTGTGTATGGTTGGAGAAATCAGACTTACCTGGGCTCTGTCATCTTGAAAATGTGAAATGAGATCAGTAAAGAGCAAATATTTGTGGTTACTTACATTGTAAGAGTCCAGTTATTTCATTTCTGTAATATATCAACATATAATTAAGTTGAATAAAAAGAAAGAAAAAACAATAGCTTGAATTTTAAATCACTGGTACTTTCAGAAGCCCCTGGCTAAAAAAATGTCAGGGCCACATTTTAAAGCTGGTAGCTATTGTTGACTTAGCTTCTAAGATGTGTTCCCTCTAGAAATGTCTTATTGTCTCCATTTGCAAACAGCATGACGTAGTAGAAGGTGTGTGTACTTTCCCAGAAGGCTAAATCCCCAGCATTCGTGTCTATGCTATGGGCTTCTTGCTTTGGGGAATCATCTCAGTCCACTCAAAGGCCTTGGCAGCCCAGGGAGTGGTTTGCCGGTCTCCAGTATCTCTGGGGCCATTTCTCCAAACCTCTGCTGGATGGGTAGCTTTTCTCTGCAATAACTTCTGAATTGATCTTCTAACAGCAATTAAGATTCAAATAGTCAGGGTCCTCCAAAGTTTATTGAAGGAACCTTTGCTTTAGGTAGAGACATTTTCAATCCTTAATGTGGCCAATATTTTCAGGTTTAGTTAACTTTTAATTAATACCATTAAGACTCAAGAAATTCCTACTAATCACATTTCTGTACTGTATCTGAATACTTTGACTACTGTCTATCTGTCTCTAGACAAAATGGCTTTTTACTGCATTACATCATGTTGGGAAATCCCTGAAAACTTCCTGATAATTTGATTGGAAAGTTTAGACTTTAAAAATACACAGAAAAGATGTAACGTAAATGTGGATTAATGGTAATCCATGGCCCTGGACATGCCAGGATTTACCATTAAAGCCACATTTCCAATGCAATAAAGTGTTTTTATGGAACTGTTATCTTTGATCTAAGTTATTTTAGCTTAAATTGAGTGTCAGGTTAAGTAAAATATTTTTAAGTAACTTCAACAAACACTGGTATATATGTGCAAACGTCCCCAAAAATTGGCATGAAGTCTTTTAAACTTGGAAATACTCTTTCTGTTCATGATTTTTCTTACTTCTAAAAATGAAATAAATCTTAGCTGCAGTGACAAAATTAAGCTTCAATTACACATTTTTGCTGGGTCTTTATTTCTTTTTAGAAAATAAAACAGTCTAGCTCATCTGAATGCAGTACAGTTGATATTGCTCTCTCTGAAGAAGAAATGGTCAATGAACATGAAAAGTCAATGCATCTAATAAATGGTAAGAAAACTGTTTCTTTGGCAATTGTATTGAAATTACCCTAAATTATCTTAACCTAAATAATACTACTGGATTCACTTCTAATCTTAATGTGTTTATGAATTTTGCACAGACACACACATGAACTTGTGGGGGCGCATGTGCACATATACCCACTGATATCCTAATAGACACATGTATAAAATTTCAAGAACCAAGTCAACATTGGGAAACAAATTGGAAAGGCCTATTTCCTAGAGTGTATTATGCCATAGTTGTCAAGCCTGATCCTGGAATAAGTATAACTCTCAACCAAATATATACTTACTCTTTCATATCCAATCATTTCCTAGTGTACAATAAATAAATAAATAAATAAATAAATATCTTGGAATTACACAAAAGATCAAATTAGTATGTACATGTAGGTGCGTGTGTAGATGTATGTGTGGATGATCTAAGAAAAGAAAGAGAACCTGCCTCCCAAATAAAAGCCTGATTCAATAATAAAATCATCTACATCATCATCCTACTTAATTGACATAGCTTAAAGAGATATTGATTATTATAGTTAAAGAAAAAAAGAACAATAAGTAGTGGTATGTTAAGTGGAATATGATTAATCATGTTCATTTCAAACTGTAGCTTCATGCTAGAAATAAAATTGGGTAAATGTATAATGTTCATATTTTACACTAATAATTATATAAGTCTGTGAAGTAGAATAGAGCATGATGTTTTAGACTTCATGAATTGGGGTTAATATTTTAAATATTCATTATGAAAGGCATCATGTACCTCTGAAAAGAAAGCAAATCGTAACAGCAAGATATTTATATATTTTATATGAATGTTAAGAAATGCGATATATGTCTCTAGGCAACTGAAACACTAGATATGTCCCACACACCTCTCAATGAGTTGGTTTCCAAATGAAATAAACAAATTAACGCAAGTTTAGACACTTAAAATTACTGTAAAGTCGTCAAAATGGTAACTGCTAAGTACCCCATCCATTTCCTGTCTTCAAAATAAGCACCTGTCACTCAGAAGTTTGAATTCTAGAACATATATCATCAACAGCAAAGGAAGAATGTATCACATATTTTCTGAGTGGAAATGCACAATTTGACTCTATCTGATAAACTAAAATGTTAGTATTTGCCTGTAAAATTCCCCCCTCCATTTCTTCATTTCCCGCTGTTAATCACTCTCTGTCCAGACTCATACTTTTTTAACTAAGCCCTTGGGCCAGCAGGCTGACTTTACCCGCATAAATATCCTCTTAACCCACAGTCGTTCAACGTTCATGTCACTCCTTCAAATTTTCTCAAATATCTCATTTCCATGCCACGTAAGAACTAGAATCAAAGCAACTCATTTGAGTTAATATTATACCTCAACATTTTGTAAGCATTTGGTTTTTAAATAGTAATGGCTGTGATGTCATGAATTCTGGGAGAGGAGTTTTCAAGGATTGTATCAAAATGAAACACTGGAGATTTATATATTTGCACCCCTTTTTTGTTTGTGCCTGTAGAATTGAGAGATTAGTTCTGTTCTCAGACTGTTCCACATTCAGGGGGGGTATCATTCCTGCCATTTTTCAATTTAGTTCTTCCTGTTATCGTCAAACTCACAAGGGAAGTTCTTCTCCTCAGGGACTACAGTCATAGCAGAGGTAAAAATCAAATGTTGCAAGTCTCAGACCACTTACAATATGATCTATGAATAAATGAGTTCTAAAATATAACTTCTAAGTCATATTTCTATAGTAAAAACTTTGAAATGTTTACTTTTCATGAGTTTCTAGAGATTTGTTTTTAATGTTTTCATTCTTGCCAGATCGTAGGAGATCTTCACTTGGTCAAATAAGTAAAGAATACAAGAAAGGGAAAATTTGGCAGAATATTAGGAAAACCTGCTGTAAAATAGTGGAAAACAGTTGGTTTAAATGTTTCATTGGCCTTGTCACTTTGCTCAGCACCGGAGCTCTGGTAAGTGAGCTATCCAGGTGAGTAGTACTTTTACAGGGACAACTGTGTCTTAACTGTTAATTCAGAAAGTCACTTTACCAGATTACTTTTATCAGAATACTTAATAGAGCACCATATTCTGTGGCTGTAGTTTTAGAAACTGTGTGCTATATTTTCTTAAAAAGTCTGTGTATACATCATTAAATATTAAATGTAATGTTAATATTAAACTTCATAATAAAGACATTTTAAAAAATAACTTTAAAATAAATCACTTATGATGGGAAAAATAGATACCTGATTCTTCTGATATTTATTGTTCTATTAATGAAACAGTTTAATAATTTGGCCATGAGAAACTTCTACATTGTGTTAGTGCTTTGATGTCTATTCAATAAGAAAAGGGAAGGATTACAGGTATTTTTTCATACAGATGTTTTAAACAATATTATTCATGTTAGAAAAATACTGAAAGCAACCTCAATGTCATTCAATGAGTGAGTAATTAAGTAAATAGTAGTACCATCCTACTACTGAATAAAACTTAGCAGTAATAAAGCATGTGAGGTATAGACAAGATCTATTTGCATTAGAATGAAAGGAACAAGTACAACTCATACTGTAGCTCATTGTTTTCTGCAAATGTTTGAAATATTTTATACTGTGTAACTATTTCTCAAAATTCCTTGCTATGTGCCTTTATTTAGAAAACATTCTCAAAATAGCCAAATTTTAGAGACAAAGAATATACCGGTAATTGTCAGGGTAATTGGCGAGTGTGGCAGGCATCGATGTAAATTAACAAGAAAGATGGGTCTTGTAATAATAAAAGAGTTTTAAAATCTGACTGTACAGTAATTACATATCTGTAGGAATATCTTACAGATATCTTCACATGGACTAACTGTGTTCGCAAGGTTTTTCACCAGGATATGTATTTTAACAACAAAGATTGGGTAAGATAAGTAAGAATCCATGATATTTGAGTGGTGAAATACACTAGATTACAATCACCCAATGGAAGGCTGTACAGCTATTTTGGAAACAAGAGCTGATTGCCAACTGATACTGCAATGCTTCCAGAAATGGCAGAGTGAAAACAGAAACATCTGGAGTGACTTACTGTGCACAGCATCCTGCCTTTCACTTAGGCAAGCAAGAAAATTGTAATGGCTAGTGAATTTGTGTACATTTTCTTAAAAAATATCAAAGAAAGGTGCACAGGAACCAGTTATCGTGAGACAGAGTACAGGGATGAAGTCATGGTTGGGAACTAGACTTTGCACTGCATGTGAAAAGTTTTTAAAATAAGCATTCTCATGCATACTGAAGACATCATGGGTGTCCAGCGTGGATGATACTTAGAAAGCCAGTGCCCTTGTGTGACTACCACTTGTGTGCAGAAGTCCAGTACCATACTCTAAGACCTCACAGGTAATTCCCCATGACACATGAGGAGCCAGTATGTGCACTTCAAGTGCCACTGCTAAGTTTCACTCATGTTTCATTTGTTGTTTCTTCCTCCTTCTATTTTGGTGTCCCATCCTACTTCCTCATGATGGTCAAGGTCAATTAACTTTGCTAGCCTGGTAATATCCTTTTTTTTTTTTAATCAGTGTACTGGCATATGAAGTTGAGAAATGACCAGATCATATCTTGATTTTTTTAATTTTAGTGAAAACATGCTGTGTCCACTAATATACTGTTTTGGGTGCCTCTGAATTCACATTTCCAGGAGCTTAGCGAATGAGAAGCACAAATACCCAAATCAGAGTTGCTGTGTTCTTCACAGTCTTTCTCCATCATAGATTCTTCCAGTAGCATGCTACTTTATATAACTCAAATGAAAAGGTGACTTTTAGAATACTTTCTTGAATCAGGCCTTACAGAAAAATAACAGTCCTCTGCATCAGTTGATAAATAGGCCAGATTAGAATTCTCAAATCTGAAAGTTTGCCTTCACACCTGAAGAAGTTCACCAAGTATTGTCTTCTTTCCTTCCCTTCTTCCTTCTTTCTTTTCTTCCTTGTTTCTCTCCTTCCTTCCTTCCTTCCTTCCTTCCTTCCTTCCTTCCTTCCTTCCTTCCTTCTTTCCTTTCTTTCCTTTCTTTCCTTCCTTCTTTCTTTATTTCCTTCTTTCTTTCCTTCTTTCTTTGGGGTATAAAGTTCATATGCCTCTAGAAACCATCCATTTCTTGTTCATAAAGTCTGACTCATTCCTGTTTTGCCAATGAGTGACTTCCTAGCAGCATAATTGACTATTTATCCAGCTCAATATCCCCTTTGGTCCAGCCTGTTGTAGACTGAATATGTTTCTAAATATGTCCACATCATAGTCACCAGAACTTGAAAATATTTTGCAAATACTTGTATGGCAAAAGGTTCTTTGCATTGCTTCTCAGACTTTTAGTTAAGAACAAGTGTAAAATGTTCTTTGCAGATGTGGTTAAGTTTAAAATTTGGAGGTGGGGAGATTTTCTGTATTATCCAGATAGTCCCACTCTAATCATAATAGTTCCTACAAAATATATACAAGAGTCAGGATTAGAAGTAAAGGTAATAAGAGCATAGACACAGAGATTGGATGGAGGCATCTTGAGGGGAAGGAAGAAATGCAAGCTAAGGAATAATGATAGCCAGTAAAAACTGCAAAAGAAAGAAATGGATTCTCTCTCTCTACACACACACACACACACACACACACACACACACACACACACACACTCACACAATCAGCCCTCCTACCACTTTGACTTTAGCCCAAAACAACTGACTTCTGGTTTCTGCTCTTATGATTTATAAGAGTATGTATTTGTGTCATTCTCAGACACTAAATTTGGGGTAATCTGTCACAGCAGCAACAGGAGAGTACTCCACAGCCCCTTCAGGATTCACTCCTACACATAATCTCTCTTCCTTCCAGTACACATTACTACATTCCACATAAGTTCCAGATGCTCTAGCAAACTAATTTCTCCTGATGTGTTAATTTCTGTGCTTCGGTGGCTACCTTATGAAGAGAATTGACAGGTTGTATTATTGGTGTACAGGAATAGAGATGGAGGTGGTTCTTAAAGGAGTGCTTAGGACACCTTTCTAATTGAAGGCTTCTTGCTGAGTGGTCTTCAACCAACACCAGATTCCATTTGATCCTTTAGAGAAGCTCTGGAGCCCAAGCTGCACCACAGAGTTCTACTCTGCAAGAAACTGTGATGGTTTTTTGTCTCTCTGCCAGTCATTGAGGGGGTTACCTCTAGGAATGGAAATCTTGCCTCATGAATGAAATGGTTTTTTTTTGTTGTTGTTGTTGTTGTTTTTATTTTTCTGAGCAAAGGTAATTCTACAGAGAAAGTTTAAATTGTGTGTTATTAGACAACACTCATAGTCATTGTTGAATGAGTAGATTTTGGTAGTCATTGGGAGTTAACTGCAATACTTTTTATGTTCTTAAAAAGTTTGTGTCTTTTTATTTGTTGTGTATGATTATGACATTTGTTGTTTCTACTAGGGCCATCTAGACTATCTTTAGTGATATAGTAAAAGTTAAAATTTTTTTAACTGTCATGTCATTTACTATTTTAAGAAAGTGTAAAATTATCCCACCATGATTCAATTTTTAAAATCTCCTTTAGCTCCATTAACTTTGTGAATATTTTGATTACATGTTATTTTGTGCATTCAGAGGTGTACTAATGATATCAATTCTTTTATGATGTGGCTCTTCTTATCTCTATATATGTATTTTGTCTAATTGGAAGCAGAATATAATTCCTTTGTAAGTCAAAGAGTTTTTAGAATTTTCAAGTATGCTTACCCTTAAATTTTTTACCCTTAGGCTTTTGAAGATATATATATTGATCAGCGAAAGACCATTAAAATCTTACTAGAATATGCTGACATGATCTTCACTTACATCTTCATTCTGGAAATGCTTCTGAAGTGGATGGCTTATGGCTTTAAAGCCTATTTCTCTAATGCCTGGTACAGGCTGGACTTCATGGTTGTTATTGTACGTATTTTAAAGAAAAAAATCTAAAGGCCATTGGATTTTTTTCTTACTATTTTGCTTACTTATGTCTCCTTTCCCCCTCTTTGCATGTATTTTAGCTATTCTATGTTTGTCTTATTCTAAAAATTTTAAAGTTTAATTCTACACCCTTGAATTACTATAAAGTCAGTCACCTATGAACCCACTGCTAACATGGAAGGTTTGTTGCACAATATCCTGAAATATCAGAGCGCTAAAATCTTTAAACCCTATTGGCTTCATTATTCTCAGTGCAATAATTCTCAATTGATGTCCCTACTTCCGTCTGTGTATCACTTCATTCTGTGTTTCATAAAACCAGAGTGAGCTATGTAAAACGGATGTAAGCCCTTCCCCTTCTCTTCTTTGAACCCTCTAATAAATGTCCCATCTCACTCAGAGCAAAGGCTGCAGTCTTTGTGATTAAAGGCCTGCAATCCTTTCCATCGTGTAACCTTATCTCCTACTGCTCTATTCCCCCTGCCACACCTGTGTATAGACTGATTCACCAGTACCGACTTTGAAGCACCTCAAAGAAGCCAAAAGTACTTTCATGTTAGTGCCTTTGTGCTTATCAACCTTCAGCCTGAAATTTTGTTGGTATTCATTTCCTAGTTGAAGCGAATCTTGGAAGTTTATCTCACTACCTTATTTAAAACTGCAGCCTCTTTCATACTCCTTTCCAATCCTATTTTTTTCTTCATATTGGTAACCACTCTTAATGTCATATAATTTATTTATTTTGACTATTGTTTATCTTCTTCCACTAAAAGATAAGTTGTTATGGCAGAATTTTTTCTCAGTTTTCTTCTCTCTTTTATCCCTCGTGCCTTGATGATTTTTGTTGAAGGAAAAAATGGCTCAGTCTATCACTAACTGCTTTGAAATAGTGAGGTCTTCTTCTAAATTAATTTTTACAAATCCCCTGCTACTACAGTCAAACCCCACTGTCCCCAAAACTCACCTTCCTGTTTCCTAGTCATTGTCCATTTGTGGCCATATCAGTCAATGGCTCTGTCAATGATTTCCATACTTCAAAGTCTACTTCAAGACCAGTGTAGAATAAAATATGAAAAATCTTCACCTTTGTTGACCTAGAAGTCTAGAAAATATGAAGATACAATAAAAATAAATAATGGCTCTAGTACCTTGTTCAATCTCAATTAACACTTACACATCTTTAATCATTGTATGCATGAGTATCTAAATTAAAAATCATTTTAGTATATTATAGTTTATTTTTCATTTAATGCATTAATATTTGTATCTTTCTTGATCCCTTAACTCTTAAATCCTGTTTTGTATTTTATCCTTACAATAGTTATATATGAATGAATATCTGAATATATCTCAAAACAGGTTTTAATGACTGTTGTATACTATTGCTGTATTGCAAATAATCATATCATTTAAATTCCAATTTCAAACTCTAAAAGGTTATAAATATTAATCCAGTGTAAAATAGATGTTTATCTCAATAACATGTTCTTTATCACCATAAAATACAATTTCTTCTTTTTAAGTGATTTTAATACAAAGTGATTTAAGACATTTTTGAAATATATATCAAAATGCTTCAAAGATTATTAGCCTTGACTATCTTTTTATAATAAATGCAGACTTTATTTTATATATTATTTCCATTAAGATTATCATATTAACTCTTTTTAAAAAAATATGTGTACAGGTGTTTTGTCTCAGCCTAATAGGTAAAACTCGGGGAGATTTAAAACCACTCGCTTCCATTAAATTTCTTCGGGCATTCAGAGTTCTATCTCAGTTTGAAAGAATGAAGGTAAGACAAAGTTTCTAAACTAATCTATGGATTTGGGGGGAGGGATCAATAAATTTCTATGAACTAGCAAGCTTTACTGTCCTCATATTTTATTTCTATCTTCAACAATACTAGTACAACAAAAATCTTATATTCTGCCTAAAAGTAGATGGGAATGGATATGTTAGACTTTTTAACATTTTAGGTCTTTGTTGCTCAAAAGATATGAAAACTAAAAAAGATGAGCAAAAGGGAAATAATAGGAAAGATATAATTTGAAAAATAGTAACTTTCTAATTTATATTGATATAATGAAGTCTTCCTTTAAAAAAAGATAACTGCAGAAAATGAACCCTTCATCTGGTAAGCGACTTTTTGCATTTATAAAACATTTTCCTCAGTAAGTAGCTATTTACTGGATGAAAGAAATATTTGTGCTTTAAAATAAATATACTTTTTCTAAAGTCACACATCACACATTGTTTTCTTATATTCTTTCTGTCACTCCCACTACAACTTTTTCTGTGGAGAAAGCTCATAGTTGTAGCCACACCAAATATCCACTATTTAAACTTTTGAACCTATAGAAGTGCCATATGACTTGGTACAAAAAATAGTCTAAGATCACCACAGTAGTACAAGTACTGTACGTGGATGTGCACTGATCAGCTATAAGCAGAAATGGAAGAAAGAGTCTGATTTTTACCTTTTTTCATTCTTGTTCATTTTATAGTGTTGTTTACATAGATTATTTAACATGAGTTTGCCTTTTTTGGCAGGAATCACCTCATATCACATATTATGGAAAGATTCAAGAAATTATTTCTGTTTTAAACTGTAATGTCTCTGTGGTTTATACATTGTATGCTACATTTAAGCTGCCATGCATTAAGAAGCCATATGTTTAAATTCTATTTGGTAAAACATCATTTTTTTATCTCAAAATTTGACTGATTCTTATAAGTTTAAACTATAAATTCCTTAGGATGTGCATTTTGATGATATATTAAAAATGATAATAGTACCACCTTTAAATTATATGTGTATACATATATGCTTATATAAGAACATTAACACAGAGGTAATTAATTATATATATTTTAAAGCATACTACTCTAAGTATGCATGCACTTATACTGAGTATATACTTGACTTTTTGCAATTCATGTGACTTTGCATTTGATTCATTATAAAAGAATTTAAGTCTGATTAATCTATTCCCAGATTCATTTGATTTGCTGGATTTGAGAAAGAAATATTTATTATGGTGTATGGATATAAAGACTCCAATATTATAAACCTAGAAAATAATAATCTAAAGGAGTGATCATAATTTATACTATAACTTTTGAAACAGATTTTATTAACACATTATGTAAGAACTGGGAAGGGTAGGGGAAAAGAAAGCAGGGAATGGAATTAATATAAGAAAAAGAATAAATGGAAACAAAGTCTTTGTAAATAGGGAAGGGTAGAGGGGTTGAAGGGAGGGCAGGGGAATGGGAAAAAAATGAGAACCAAGATGGATTCTGTAAAGCTGCAAATTTCCATCGATGAATGTCACTACAATGTATCTCTTAAAAGCACCAATAAAATTAATGTTTAAAAACCTGTGATAACATTTACAAGTGCTTTTTAAACAAAATAAGTTGGAAAACTAGTTTTAAAAAAAGAAAGTTGCTGACAAGATTGCTAAGATTAGAGGTTGAGATGATAAAACAGCTTAATTTCCAGCAAAAATACAGTGTAGTGATAGGAAAATTTCATAAAATAGCCTGTGATTAAAATCTGCGCACACACACACACAATCTGAGTGTAACTAAATAAACTATTGTAACAAATATTAGAAGGTGATTCTAAAGTTTTTCTCTCATAACTTTTAATGCACAGGTGAAGAGAGTGTGAAATCCCCCGACTTGTTCCCATGTTAGAAAGAAGCTTCCCAGGCCAGGGATTTAGCTTAGTGACACCGTGCCTGCCTTGCAAGCACAAGGTCCTGAGTTCGATGCCCTGGTACCAAAAAAAAAAAAAAAAAAAAAAAAAAAAAAAAAAAAAAAAAAAAGAGAGAGAGAGAGAGAGAGAAAGAAAGAAGGAAGGGAGGGAGGAAGGGTACGTTCATTACAAAGACAATAAGATACTGAGTCCTGAGCTTAAGGATAGCAAAACAGTAGATACAGAAACCTCATCTCAACCTCTGAAAATTCTGTGGTCAAATTGTATGTGCAGATGCATTATTAAGCTACATGTTTATAAAACTGATGTTCCATTTACCTAATAAATCTTAGGTACTCCAATATATGTGTCAACCATCCCCACTTCTCTGTTGTCACATAGATTTTTCTGATGGATGGGGCAGCTATTTTTTACAGCAGATGGATCAATGGGCTTCTCAAAGCATATAAATTGTCAACAGAGGACCTGTGCCCTCATTTTAGAACTATAACAAAGTGATTGAAAGATCAATTAAAAATATTGGACAGAAGATTATGACATAAACAAGAAAGTACAGGCAAAATTTGTCTAATAATGACAGAGGAAAAAGCATGGTTAAAAGAGAAAAAATGATGTCTTAGAAAAATGGAAATAAAATATATAAACACTATGACAAAGAAATGGCAGGTATTGAAAATATTCCATTGGATAAACCAACTAGTTTCTTTTGCCATAATAGCTTCAGTGGAGCGATAAGAGTAATACCAATGTTAATGGTAAAGGGAGTTAAAGAAATGATTATAGGCTATGGCTGGTATTCAAGTTTAGGTGGTAGACTCATCTTGCAAATCTCTTCTTCTGAAATTACTTCTTAGTTGGGGGAAAAAGGCTCAGGGTGGAGGTTTGAAGCTTTGCAAATTGCAAATGAGTGTTCAGTCTCCTTCCTGAAGCCATCTCCTCCCATCACTTTGTGGTGCAATCTCTTGGTCTTCTATTTTTCATATCACTCTTTCTTCTTCTTTGCATGTTTACCCTCCCTAAGGTTGGAGTCAAGACCTTGAGCTTGCAAGGCATTTGGCAGAACCGCTGAGCTAAATCCCCTGCCCCTTGTTTTTCAGTATAGCACTATATCAAGTAGTATTTTCAATTTGGTCAGAAATTAAAATAGTTTCACATTTCTTATCTAAAGTTTGTATTTCTATTTTTTGTGTGCCAGGTGGTTGTGAGAGCTTTGATAAAAACAACTCTACCTGCTTGGAATGTGTTTCTGGTCTGCTTTATGATCTGGCTCAGTTTTAGTATCATGGGAGTACAGATATTTGCTGGCAAGTTCTATGCATGCATTGATCAACTAAATGGAGAAATGTTTTCAGTGTCTGAAGTATGGGATAAAACTCAGTGTGAAAGCCTCATGCATAATGAATCCTTGTCATGGAAGAATGCAAAAATGAACTTTGACCATGTTGGAAATGGTTTCCTTTCTCTACTTCAAGTAGTAAGTACATTATTTTGAAAGTTTTTTTTCATTCAATTATACATTCATTCATATTGTAGGCCAAATACAAAAAACAAAGTATGGATGATTCAAATATTTGATTATAGCATATTTTAGCAATTAGTAATTAATAGATAATAGTTGTTGGATATACTATACTAGACTTCTTTGGGAAGACATACATGAAACACAGTCCCCATCCTGTGGAGATGAAGGCAGCACTAACAGAGGAGTTGGTAAGTGCTAGCCAAAGCTGCTTCTTCCACTACTGATCAGGCAGTTGGTCCAAAGTGGGTTACCACTCTTCATTAATTTGGTGCTTGGAGGAATATCTACCCAGTGACTCAATATCTAAGATATGAAAACATGGGCCTCTCTCCTCTTATTGAGCCAACAGAAAAGCACGTATGAACAGCTACAAATAACTGACCCTCGAAGTATGTACTTATTTACCATTGATCTATTTTCTATTTTTCATTCTTTTTCTGTTTAACTATTTTTAAAATATTGTGTTGTTGATTATAAATAAAATAAGTCAAATTATTAGCAGTATAATGAAACATGCTAAATACATCAATTATGCATGCTATATATTGAATTTTACAGGCCTACTATCAAAGTTTTAGAGTATTACAAACAAGTTGAGGGCTAGAGATTTAGTTCAGTGATTCCACTTCCTGCCTTGCAAGCACAAGGTCCCAAGTTTAATCCCTGGTACCACACACACACACACACACACACACACACACACAGAATTTTTTTTGTTCTGAAAGTAGATTTCCACAATATTAAATATATCTTATTTTTTATAGGCAACATTTAATGGATGGATCGATATTATGTACTCAGCAGTTGACTCTGTTGGTGTAAGTACAACATAGTTTAAAAAGCACTGTTAAGCCTCAGGCAATTTAAACACAACACACATGGTATTTATAGCAATTATATACATTTCAGATTGGGTAATTCATAGGCAATGAAATCTTTTCAGGAAGATATACAATTATTGAGACCCAATAAACACATGTAAAGGATTATCATTTTTATAACAAGAAGTTAACCAATGAAATTAATTTTAAAGTAAAAAAATGAAATGATATTCTTTCACCAAAGAACAGAAAAAATTAATTTAAGTAGCACTGTTTGATTTTCTTTATTAAAAAAATCATATATTTCTTTTTTAAAAAAATCATATATTAGTCTTTTATTATTAGTGAATGTTAGCTACACAGAAGAATAGATTTCTTTAGCTACATTCAGACTTGCATGCCACATACTTGTGTAATCAGATCTTTTTGTCATGAAATGGTTTATATATAAATCTTGTGTTTTAAAAATTTATAATAAATGATTATTTGTAAATTCATTTTTAGGTAGAAATGCAGCCTAATTTTGAAAGCAGCCTCTACATGTATATTTACTTTATTGTTTTTGTTATCTTTGGATTATTTTTCCCACTGAGTATGCTGATTGGTGTTATTATTACTAATTTCAACAAGCATACAATAAAGATAAGTATAAATATCCTTTGTTCATAATTGCCTGAAAATAAATCTGACACATTTTTATAAATGCCCTCTTTCAAGTAATTGGTTTAGAATTTACCTCAGTGGCATTCTTCGGTGGTGCATATAAAACACAATAATTGTTTCTGCTTTTCCATGTTGTCAAGAACTACTAAAGTATTCATTCTCATATTGCTTTCAATGTCCAAAATATGCACAGTGAAGTTTGAATTTTGATACATACTTGTGTTTCTGTATGTATGTTTTATAAATGATGAAACGATGAAAAGAAATTAATAGTATTTTTGCATATCTGTACAAATATGTGAAGACTTGAAGAAGGATAATACTCTTTTACTCCGATACATTAGAAGCTTTCACAGCTATAAGTAGCACAAACATTTTTCTACATTAGAGTAGCTCTTTCTGTTTGAAGTAGACTCTAGCTGGTCCTAAATAGGAGGGCTTAAACTCAATCTTAGGAAACTTAGAGACACTTAGCCACATTTTGGTACCATTTCTGTATATTTGGTGCCATTTGTGCACAATTTTGACTCCCTTGGCTTCCAAAAATGCAAAGGGCACCAAGGCATCTATCCACTTTTATGTTTTACAAAGGGACCTACTCTCTATGAGATTTAGGAATGCCTTCCAAAAAATCAAAAGAAATAATAACTGTGAAATTCCATCTCCAACAGTGTCATTAAATGTCGTTCACATGTAAAAACTATATAGCATAATAGGTAGTCTGCTAATGAGGTGGGAGGGGCAGTATGATTAGATGTGGTTTTGATCAAGTGCTTCAGCTTCCTGAGTAGGTCAGCCCCGTGTGGTGACACCCTAAGTTTATTTTTGGGCTTTGCATTGGTGATCCCTGTCAGTTGTAAGTGAATGGATTCTAATTTAGGCATCAGCAATTCCTAATTTCTAGCTTTATATATCATTATTACTTTATATATGTTGTACAAGATACTAAAATTAGCACTAGAATCACAAAACTGAATGAGCCCTAGAAGGTGCAAACTGCAGGTACTTTTGGAATAATAAAAATACCTTCTTACAGGAGTTGATCAAATAAAGCCATATATGGACATTTAAAAAATAAATGCTTTCCTAAAAGGGGTAATACGTGCCTGTAATCCCAATAATCTGGGAAGCTGAGATAGGAGGATTGCAAGCTTGAGCCCAGCCTGGGAAATTGATTTAGCAAGACGCTGTCTTAAAGTTTTATAAAGAACTGGGAATGTAGGTCAATGCAAAGGCCCTCAGTTCAATCCCTAATGCTGTGAAAACAAACAAAATATTGATCAATTCTATGTGTACCTGTTTATTAACAGGTACAAATAAATTTAAATCTTGTCTTTTGAGCTCAGTTATGCTCAATTAATTTTTTGAGGTATCCCCTATTTTATGTTTGTCCTCTCTAAGAAAAGGAAGGCTTTCGTAGACTAAATATTATAAATAGGGGTGACTGCTTAGAGGAAAGTATATCAAAATATCATTGAATGGAACTCATTACCAACTAGTATTCCATGTCTGTTTTACATGCATTTTTGTGCAGAACATCAACCATGGTCAAACGTGACTTGGACCATTGCAGTTAAACCTTCTGAAAAGAATTATATTAATAACTGCCAACTGTTCTAAAATGCAGATTAATACAAAGGAAATTTTGGATTAAAAGTGATTTTAATGTCTTTTTCTTTCATTTGTATACCATGGAGGCTCCAATATCTTTATAACTGAGAAACAGAAGAAACTGTATCATGGAATGAAGAGGCTGATGTATGAAGATTCTCAAAAACAAATACCTCGTCCAAGAGTAAGGAAATGTATAGATTCTTTTGAAACTTTAAAAAGTTCCTTTATTTACTTCATTTTACAAATAAAATATATTTTAAAATATCTTCAGGGCTATTGACATTTATAAAATATGCCCTTTGACAAAGATTTTAATGGTCAGTTTTTGCTCATATGTTATTTTATGTTATAATTATTAACATACTTTAGCTATATAAATTAATATGATTTGCTATAATATTGCACATGTATGTATATTGTGTATTGACCATGTCCATCCACTTTTGTTTTGACTGTGTGCTGTAGGTTTGTTTGGTCAAAATGTACACCCTCATTTACATTTATTTTAGGGGAAGTTACAGACTCTGATGACTGTATGTATGAACGTACAGCTTATTAATAATGGTACTGCACTTGTTTTCTTTACCCATAGAACATGTTCCAAGGCTTCATTTTTGACCTGGTAACAAATCAAGTTTTTAATGTCATCAGCATGGTTCTTATCTGTCTCCAAGCAATGATCATGATGACAGAAAGCGATGACCAGAGTCGACAAATGGATATTGCTCTCTACTGGATCAATGCAACCTTTGTTATGTTATATACTGTAGAATGTATTCTGAAGCTCATCTCCTTCCACTGTTACTATTTCACTGTTGTATGGAACATTTTGGATTTTATGGTGGTCATTTTCTCCATCACAGGTAAGATTTTGTTCAGTCCAATTTTCATTTATCATCATATTAATCCAGGCAAACTTATTAATATCATTTCAGATACAGTCTTATAGCAAAAACAGTTAGAGATCTTTTTGTTCCAGTCAGGAAGGCTCAGTATTTTTTTCATTCACACATGTGCCTACAGATAGGGATGTTAAATATATATATTTCTTAAGCTAATAGAATATACTTTATGTCACAAACCACAAGACAAATGCTTAATTACCATTCAATGTATAAGTAAATTCATTTCTAGGAAAACAATAGAAGGATCCTTATATCTTAGAATGATCTAACCTTTCAAATTCACTATTCCTTCCCTCTAATTGTCCAAAGCAATCTTACTTGGGAGATCTTACTGTTTTATTTAAGAAATATACTCAAGTATTTTCTTTGTGAATAGATGCTATACTGTATGGGAGGGTTACCATAGTCACATGGTGTGGTGGTACATAGCAGCAATCCCAGCACTCTGGAGGCCAGGGCAGGAGGAGCACAAGTTTAAACCAAGCCTGTGCAACTAGAGGAGATCTCATTACAAAATAAAAATTAAAAAGTGACAGGATATATTTCAGTACAAAGCCTCTGGGTTCAATCCAAAGTATGCTCCCCACCAATAAATAAAACAAAACAAAACAAAAATACCAGTGGTAAACAAGATAGGGACAATTCCTGCATATATATATATATATAGTTTGTCTATTAAAGGGCACAAATGATTAAAGAGTATGTTTTAATGCGGTGCTGCTAAAGTTATGATAAAGGAAGTACAGGGGACTACAGCAGCACAACAGAGGGAGGGGCAACTGCTCAACAAGTAGATGTCAGAGCAAATTTTGTGGGAGAAGAAAAAATTTAAACAAAGATCCATTGTATAAAGAGGTAGCCATGCAAAGAATTTAGGATCAAAGTGTTTCTGAAGAAAGGAGTTTCTTTATTGTCGGCTTCCCCACAACACATATGTAGCTGCCAGCTTCATATAAATAGGGACAACAAGCAGAAGTAGAGAAGTTGGACTTTGGATGGGTTATGAATGGTAGATGCTGAGGTGAAATGACAAGTGAATTACTGAGGTTACCAGTGCATAGAAGTAAAGTGGAATGAGTAGATCCTTGAGCCAAGGAATGGTAGGAAATGGAATAGCTGAGTGACATGATTCATTAAGGGTTGGAAAAATTTTTTTTGTTAATTAAAGTGGTGCAAATAAGAGTCTGAAAATCTCATTAGAAAGTAAAAAAAAAAAGTATCCATGTTTCTTCCTTAAGAAACATGTGTGGTGCAAATAAGAGTCTGAAAATCTCATTAGAAAGTAAAAAAAAAAAGTATCCATGTTTCTTAAGGAAGAGTTGGGGAGAATACGCTGCCTTTGCTTGAAACTATCAGGCAGGAATGATGTCATCAGTATAAAGTCGGCTTCAGATGAGAAGGGGAGTTTAGAGTAGTGAGGATATTGGAATTTTTTTTTTTTTTATGTTAGGTAAAAATATTTCCTGCACAACTGAGGAGTTTTGAAGACTGAAAAGAAATGAAAATTTGAGTCTGCGTGGAAAATTCACTCTAAAGAGAAGGTGGATGTGGGAAAAACACCACAGTGTCATCTTAGGTGATGGCCAAGTTTGACACACATATGTGGCGTGAGACTTCCTGTCAGCAAACACGCACTCTTCTTAGAAGCTACATGGAATTTTTCTTCCTCCACCTTTTCAACTCAAATGAACTATCCTTAGGTTCTAAAGAAAAACTCACTTCTTTCACATTTAAAACTCCTGAGAAACAAATGCCACTTAGGAAACAAGTGAATTAAAATACAAACTATGAATCACTGAATGCCAAACATTCTTGTAATTACATTTAACAATTAGGGCTATCCACCTTGCATTATAATTATTTCAACTAGCTATCGCTAGTTACTAGATTAAAAAGTCTTTGAGGCTAGAAATCATGTTATTGACCTTGGCCTATTTTTGTGATGCCTTTTTAAGATATTCAATATAAATTTGATTGAATTCTTTATCCAACAGCAATCAGAAAAAAAAAAGAAAACCCTTAAGACTATGATCCTATATTACAGATTCAGGTCATCTGTAATTCCAGAAGTACTTGATCTGCAATATTCCCAAGATTACAGTACAGAAGAAAGTCCTTCAAAGTTTCTCTAGATATCTTGACATTGAGACAATGAGTATTTAGCTAACCTAAACATCCAAAATGTGTTAAATAGGAGGCATTAATAAAAATTAAAATCTAGAAACAACCACTTAAGTATAAAATAGCATGTTCCTCTAAACATCATTACATGTGGATAATTTTCTTGACTCTTTTCTCTTTAACCAGGACTGCTTCTGCCTATGACAGTGGGATACTACTTGGTGCCCCCTACACTTGTGCAACTGGTACTTCTCTCTCGCATCATCCACATCCTGCGTCTTGGGAAAGGGCCAAAGGTGTTCCGTGATCTGATGCTCCCTCTGATGCTGTCCCTCCCAGCACTGTTGAACATCAGTCTTCTCATCTTCCTGGTCATGTTCATCTACGCCATCTTTGGAATGTACAACTTTGCCTATGTTAAAAAAGAAGCTGGAATTAATGACGTATCCAATTTCGAAACTTTTGGCAGCAGTATGATTTGTCTTTTTCAAGTTACAGTATTTGCAGGTTGGGATGGGATGCTTTATGCAATTTTCAACAGTAAATGGTCTGACTGTGATCCTGATAAAATTAATCCTGGGACTCAGGTTAGAGGAGACTGTGGGAACCCTTCTGTTGGGATTTTCTATTTTGTCAGTTACATTTTCATAATATGGCTTATCATTGTTAATATGTATATCGTTGTGATCATGGAATTGTTAAACATTGTTTCTAAGAAAAAAACTAGGACGTTGAGTGAAGATGATTTTAGGAAATTCTTTCAGGTATGGAAGAGATTTGATCCTGATAGGACCCAGTACATAGATTCCAGCCAGCTTTCAGATTTTGCAGCTGCTCTTGATCCTCCTCTTTTCATGGCAAAACCAAACAAGGGACAGCTTGTGGCTATGGATCTTCCCATGGCTGTTGGAGACAGAATTCATTGCCTTGATATCTTACTTGCTTTCACAAAAAGAGTTATGGGAAAAGATACAGGGATGGAGAAAATCCTTTCAGAGATAGAATCAGCATTTTCATTAGCCAACCCTTTTAAAATCACATATGAACCAATCACAACTACTTTGAAACGAAAACAGGAGGCAGTTTCAGCGACCATCATTCAACGTGCTTATAAAAATTACCGCTCAAGGCAAAATGACAAAAATACATCAGATATTTCTACATTGGGTGGTAAGCAGGAAGTCCAAGCTATTACAGAAGGTATCTGTCTTGAAAAAACTAAAGAAAAATCAGCTATTCGAAGTCAGATCTAATCCCAGTTATCACCTTTCTGTTTTCTTTATCTATCTCCATAATTTTAAAAGCTTAAGTAACAAAACTGATCAGAGAGAGAGCACAGACATGATCGGTTGCTTACAACGAATAAAAATTAAACTTGTAGTCACAAATCTCCATACTGAACTCACTTTTTCAGCTTTATATGTTCAGCCTCACCAATCTATAGGGAAAGACAATGTATTAACATTGCTGCAGTTGGTTAAAGTAAGTTGAATTTGCCCTTTGGCAATCTAGTACTTGTTTTTCTATCTGGTTCTGTTGATGTGAGCCTCTTCTGGAGGACTGGGGGAAATGGTAATGAGTATTTTGAACGAAAGAGGCTTCTTTGTGTATTATATGTAAAATGCAATAGGTTTCAAAACAATGTTACCAGGGCTCAGGTGCAAATGAATATTTTCTTAAAGTGAGCTGGTGGTTAGGAAATAGTGAAAGGCTGCAGCTCACTAAATCATGAGCTTGCCTAAAGGAATGTCAGGTAAGGGAAGGGAGAGGGCAGTTCTTTAGAAAGTGCCTTTGAGATCAGTCACAGAGACTTTTGGGGTGATTAAAAGCTGGTTGAAATAGATCAAAGCCCTATTTTAAATTTTTGTTTCTTTCTTTCTTTCTTTCTTTCTTTCTTTCTTTCTTTCTTTCTTTCTTTCTTTCTTTCTTTCTTTCTTTCTTTCTTTCTTATTTCTTTCTTTCCTTCCTTCCTTCCTTCCTTTTTCCTTCTCCCTCCATTGTCCTCTTCCCTCCCCTCCCTCATCTTTCCTTCTTCTTTTCCTTTTCCTCCTGCCCCTCTCCTCTTTCTTCTATTTTTTTTTTCCTGGAGGTGGAGAATAGTGTTTCATCGTCCATGGGCTCCTGGGTTCTTATTTCTTTGGCTAGTTCTACATGTGCTCTAAATCTACAACATGATGGATACAGATTTATACAGTAGGAAGTATAAATAAAACTATAGCTATGGCCTATACTTTCCTTTTTTTCCTCTCATTTGCACTCTTTAAAAATGTATTCGCTTACTAAAATTACATAGTAAATAAAGTGTAAATAGACCTAAGCTTTACCTTATTATAAAACTGATGTATTTTTACCATTTATTTATAATGTAACATTAAATATATAAGCTAAGACACAAGTGCATGTTAAAATGAATTAGCAGAATTGACAGCTACTAGCACATCTAATAATTTTCACAGCATCTTGACCTTTAATTGGGAACCTGTAGCCACTTCAAATACTTTTTATTGTACTTTGTGATTCTTATAGAGACAAAAATAATCATTCAAACTATAAAGACTGAATTAGGAGATAAAAGTGTAAGTTCTTATTTTATAACATCAATATTTACTAAATAGGTTTTAATAATTCATTTATCTTTTCCAGTTTTGTGATTATATCTCATCATATATAAGTAATATGTGAAATGTGTTATATTCGAGAAATTTTAAAACCCTAAACATTAACTTTCACTTTTAAAATTATTTTTTAAATTGGTCACAAATACTTACTTGTCCTTTGATTTAGTCACCAAAGTATTATTCATATCCACATAGTCTGAGAATATGACGTTTACTCCATTTGTATGAAAATTGACTTCAATGCGCCCACAAAATCCTCAGTATTAAAAAATAAAATGTAAAATGTTTACTTAAATGACAAGTTTTAAATACATTGTATGACATTCCATGTCACTTACATATTGGTAATTGTATTTTATTATGACTGCATGATCTTGAGCCTTAAGTATTACAATCTATTTTTGATCTTCAGAAATACAATAAGTTTACCAAGATGCCTTTGGGGAATCCCCTAAATAAATATATATTCTGACTTCTGTTTTTTTTTTCCTATAAATGTTCCTTTCTTTCTCTTCTTTTTCTTCATGTGATAAAGACAAATGATTCAGTGTTAATTTGGTGATGTGGTGACAGCTGGTGTTTTACTTAAGCTCCCCAGTTTTCTGTTTCTTGGGGATGGCTTAATATGGAAACTGCTTTAGGTACTTAAGCTGAATCATAACATGCCTCTATAAACTCCATAAAGACCACAGATTGATTTTAGTTTGAAAACTGTTGCTTTTATTTGTAAAATATATTTGCTAGTAACCTTCCAAAAACTGCATAAAGATTTATTTTTAACAAAATAATGTGATATATTCTACTTTTTAGATACTATGAAAAATAATAAATACAGTAAATTAACCCTACTAAGCTTTATTTTTCTTTTTTAATTTAGTCATTCATGTTGGCAGCTTTGTATAGTATAGCAGAATTTTTAAAAAGTACTTTGCACAAAATTTATTCATTCAGACTCAAAATTAAGACTTGAAACACTTAGGCCTCCTTTAAATCACTTAACTTTATAAAGTAAATGTTAGTGAGCTCATTAGGAGCCCCTATACCTTGACAACATGTAAAAATCACTTATTAAAATTGTAATTCCAGTTTTACTACATATGCAGTGTCATTAAAATTTTCCTTGAGAAGATAATGCTGAATTAAATGTATTAGTGTGCTACCATTTATAAATTTCTGCTTTATAGCATTATTTCGCATTTATTAATATATTATACTTGAGGTAGTTTTAATGATAACTTTAATAATTACCATTTATTAAGCTGACTTTTTAACACGCTACCTGGTACTGATTATTATGCATGAAACAGTAATAACGCTCAATGTATAGACCAATAAACAATGAGTTTAGAAAAGTTTTAAGAGTCTTTATATGGCATACAACTTAGTGACAAGGCCAAGACACTAGCCACATTTAGTTCCCGAGCCTGGGTGTTCTCTGTCTGTCCATCTTCCCCACCCCTCACCTGGCCTTGCAAGGAATTTAGAAGTAGAGGTCATTCCTGGAAATGAAAAAGCAAAAGGGATACAGCAACAGAAATTTTCAACATTTAGTAAGTGCTAACTGAGGCCAACTCAGAGCCTACCCACACATAAAGATAAATCTGAGATTTAAAAGAGTACTACTAGGAGAAAACAGAATTATGCAGCTGATTATAATACATGATCATTTTTATACTACTGGTATAAATTGTAGTACACATAAGGGGAGGAATGATGAATTCTACCTTGGAAATTGAAGATAAATTTAGTAAAGTGAGCCCCTGAATATAAAGGCAAATTTATCAATTAGTGAAGAAGGTAATTCTATTCAAACCCAGTGGCACTTGAATTTTTATACCAATTTATGATCAGCTCATCAAATTATGTAAAAAAGGAAACAGGATTTTGATAAAGCTCACTTGAGTTTGCAGTTTGTTTGAAGATTATTGCTCTATTAATAATAATGTGTCTTCCAGATCATTACTATGGTATGAATTTTTCTCCATTCAGAAGCTTATCAATTTAGTTTCATTCCACTGGGGCCAAACAACACATTAGGTAAAATTTCTATTCTTTAAAATTTATCGAGGTTTGCTTTATGCGTGGCTCAGCATGATTGACCTCTCTTAATACCTGCTCTACCGACTCGGAGAAATGTGTGTTCTCTCACAGTGGAGGGAGTGTTCTATGTATGTCAGTTACATCCTGTCCATTCACTGTGCTTCTCAGGTCATCTATATGTTTTCTTTGGATTGGTTCTATCAGTTTTTGAGAAGTAACTATTGAAAGTGCAACAACAGCTCTAGATTTGTTTGTTCTCTTCATCACCAGCAGAGTTGCTGCATTTTGAAGTTCTGCTGTTGGAAGCATCTATATTTAAAATTTCTATTTCTTCACGAGAGGTTGTATGTTTATTATTATATAATGTCCCTCTTTATAATATCATTTTAAAAATATACTGGAAATTAAATAGTGCTAACATTTTTGTTTCGATTGTCAAGTATGGTTTATAAAACCCATTGTGTGTATCCAAGTTTTTTCTCCTTGAATTATCACTTTTCTTTCTTTCTATAATTTATTTTATTTATTTTTCATTTGAATAATTTTTTCTAGGTACTCTTAACTAGAGTCCTTGAGAGACAGATGGCAGAACCACTGAGCTAAATCCTCAGACTTATCTAGCTATTCTCTAAGAATTTAACTGCTAGCAATAAAATCTTTTAGTTCTCCTAAGAACATTTAAATTTGCTTTTTATCCCCCAAAGAATAAATTCATAGACTATAAAATCGTTGATCTTTATTTCGGCCCTTGAAAAACATTTTGCCCCTTCCTCTGGCTTCTGGTAACTTCAGATTAGAAATTCACGTTCACTCATATTGGTTCTCCCCAGTGGATAATATGCCATCTCTCTTCAACTGTGTTCAAAATTTGCCTGTATATTTAATTTTTAAATATTTCATTATAATATTCTCAGAAATAAAAATTCAGTGACCCAAAACATAGAACCAGAAACTAGAGAGTGGATCACAGATTTGGGTAGCCTTCCAGGTGTTTCTAATACACACTAATTGTTGACAAACAATTCTCTAGATCTGTACTTGTAGACACAAGTGATTGCTCAAGATTAAATTAGTGCACAAATAAAATTAAAATTCAATTTCTAAATTTTGATAGTAATACTTGTAGTATTCAGTAAATACCTGCCTCTGGAGTTTACTGCATTTCATAGCACAAGTTATTGTATTTCTATATTTCGGAAAGTTCTATTAAATAAGAATCATATAAGAATAAATGTAAATTTGAGATTAGTGTACCTGAAATCACAAATTGTCAGCTCTCCTAGATACCTTTCCTTTACATTCCAGAGTTCCTCTCTGCCCTTCCTGGCCTTGGCATGAGTCTCATTATATTGCCCACTGTGGTTACTTCAATAGACTCTCTTGACCTCTGGTTTCTTGTTGAGTTTGGCCAAAGGGAAACACCAGCCAATTTTGTTTAGTATCTTATCTTTATTGCCACAACTTCAGTAAAGAACCTTTTTCATGCTATGTTTAGGCTCTAGAAAATGGTAAATACTTGTTTCCTTGTCTTTTTTAGAAGTGGAAGCAAAATCCCTTGATTTTTCCCTTGAACCCGACCCACATCTTTTATAAGCAACTTTACTAAAAATTCCTTGAATCCTCTCCTTGAAATGTAACTTTTCTCCCCATAATAATAGCTATCTCTGATCCATAAATTAACAAACTTGATTTTTTATAGATTTTTTTAACTAGCAAAAATATTCAAATTATAGTTTTTTTAACACTATCCCCTTGAGTAATTTCTCCCAGAGTAAGCTTAAAGATTAATTCTGGCTCCTTTTTTTTTTTAATTAGGAGAAGGGAGTGAGAAAATTAAAGAAATGATGATGAGGCACATATGATGTTTGTTTGTTTTTATTTTTATTTTGTTTGTTTTTTTTGGCTGTACGAGGGATCAAACTCAGGTCCTTGCACTTGCAAGGCAGACAGTGCCACTGAGCAAAATCCCTGGCCTGAAGTGCATACTGTGATACTTGTATTTTTCTGGATATGGTGTACAAATTTGGAGTGACAGCAGAATTCCTCAGAGCAACAGAGAGAATGCCTCTGAAGACACAGGGAGTAGGAAAGAAACTTCAATGTAAAAAGAGTGGGAAGGATAAATTTGCAGAGATGTTGAATACTGACTGGGTGGAGGTTTTTGAAATGAATTGCTCTCAGATCCATCAGATCCTTCCAACTTCCTCAGGGTCAATGCGTGAAACAAGTACTGTCTTCCCTTCAAATCAAAGAG